TATTTTGCCATAGCCTGTGACTCTACAATAGTGTACTATCAACATTCTATACACCATCTAATCGATGACCGAAAAAAATTTCATGAATAACTCCATACCATCAGTGTGAAATACTAACCATCTCAAAGTATAACCCTTCAAAATCAAATATCTAAAAATTGCTAAACATTTTTTCTAAACTTTAAAACATCCTTTTTAACACTGATCTGAAGCACTAAAGTATCGTATAATTTCACATCAATGCTATTGTGATTCTCATGAGAACATGAAGTTGTGTATTCCATTCTAGTTGGTAATATGAGTATAAACTACTGAAGATTACCGAGCGAAGATGAAGCAATTATCAAGTTATTCATAGCTTTTGATAATTTTCTCATCGATGACAATTTGAAATGAGATCTTATCTTTAAAAAATAAATGAAAGTATCTCGAAAGAAATCATTGAGTTTTATAAATCAGTCTGACTAAAAATGAAAGATAAGTTACCTGAATTCTCCTCCTTAATGTACATTTACAAATTCGGCTGTTCCTGTGGAGATGGCTATATTGGTCGTACTGCCAGGCAACTTAAGCAACAAATGAGTGAACCTCTGCCAGCATGGTTTAGTACGGGTCAGACAGATGAAGACAATACACACCTGATTGATAGCGATCATGATATAAATAAAACCGAATCATTTCGGACTTCGACCTCGTCTCTTATATATCGCAGAAGCCATAGCGATTCAAACATTCAACCTCAGTTTATATGTTCAGAAGCAAGTCATGACACTCCTGTCTCTACCTTGGCCAAATATAACTTAATAAATGACTTTATTCAAAAAGAGTTTGGCAATCATCAGTCACTATTTTCACATCTTGTATCTGTGTGTAATTTTTTCACCTCCTTCCGTTTGTATACGTCATTAGCTAATTATTTACACACTTCCTATTACGTAATTGTTATAATGTTTTTTGTGATTATTTCCTAAAGTTCATTTGTTCAACGTTTGACCTATTACTTCGAATGTTGAACAATTGGCAAAAAACTTCTATCATTGTTATTTTATTATTCTTAACAATAACAATACACCTGTCTTCCTACAACTCTTACCTACTTATGCTTAGTGACGTAATCTATGTCATAAAGATTATTATTATTATTATTCACTGGCACACTGCCTTGATTAGTTCAAAATTTTAATTTAAAAAAAAGTAGTCATGTTTATTCGAGTCAAGTTTGATAATAATCTAATTGAAAACAATAGTGTTCGCTTACATGTGTTGTGTTCACATGTTTTATTTGGTTTATTGAACGTTTGTTTTTTTCTTAGATTACATACAGTTAATCTCTCATAGTTCATCGCAAAATCAGTCAATTTTCTTAAAATGTGACATACAGAATAATAATAATAATAATGATAATAATAGTAATAATAATAATAATAATAATAACAATACTAACAAGTGACTAATATGAACGTACAATTCATATTCTCTTGAGTAAATGATCTATCAAACATGAAACCATTGATCTAGTACAATTATCTTTCGTTTGGCTTAATGATCTAACACTAATCTATGTTATACAATATATATTTTTGAGGAATAATCGATTTTCTTTGTATATATATATATATATATATATATATATATATATATATATATATATATATATATTTAAATATGTGGTGACATGTACTCTGTTTTACAATATTCACACTAGACAAGATTCATTTACTCGGACAAACTAAGTAAACTGTTGATGATTATTAAAAAATTACGGTATGAAAGTAACAATCATTATTTTATTAATATTAAAGCTTGAGTAGATTGTCGAATTTAATAGTTTACATCATGATCGAGTTCCGCTGGTCATAGCTTCTTACCAAAACTCGAAGAATCGACTCATGTGAGTAGTTATTAGTTATCAGAACCAAATTAAGTGAATCAATTCTATTTAGAGCCTATTAGAAAGTATTCGGCCTCATTCTGTCTCATTCGTACTGAATTCTAACGATTCCGTTATCATTATACAATGAAGAAACCATAATCATTGATTTCAAAGTGCCAAAATGATTTTAGACAGATGAGAATAAAAAAATACAAGTCTGTTCAAGTTGTTAAAGATGTTGAAAATAACTTAGGGGTTAGTTTAAATTAATTGTCTGACATGCATTGATCAATGTTTTCACTTTCTTCATTGAGTGAAGTTAACTAGATAAGTAATGAACATCAAGAAACAATGGACAACGATTTCATGGTGTTCATAGTTTTCCCTTTTGCAATATTTAGATGAAATTTGAACATTTGTTATAATGACTTCAATAAGCCTGAGACATAGGGTTCAAGGGTTAGTAATAATCTTGAAACAATCTATGAAATAAATCTCATCTGAGATTAGAAGTAAAAAACTTTCCAAGAACATATATTACAATACTGAAGATAATTTTGTTAAGCTTTTAAAATATGAATAACATTAAGATTTTAAAGGGTGAACCTTGTCTCCATCACTACATAGGAACTTAAGGTGTAAAACAATAATCCGAAGTTTAAGTATACAGAAAAGACACCCATACATTACTTTTTGACTGATATCAGAATTTAAAAAATATATATATTTCATTTGACTGCCCTAAAATCGTTTCAATGTCAGTAGATTTAAGGTTTAATGAACAGCAACAACAGTAACAATTTTGATTCAAAATATAAGTAAAAATTAACTACATTTAGAGGATGATGAATGCAGGAATGAAGTAATTTTTTTCATCTAGTGTTTGATCATGTCTCTCCATTAAAACTAAGCTTTAATTTTTTGATCATGGACATAAATCCAATTTTGAAATCAATTAGTTTTAGAATAATTTCAGTTAACTGAACCATTGAAAGTTAAGCAGTATTATGCACAGCTATTTCGTTCTAGTTAATGAATTATTAAAAATGTACGGCTTCAAGTTTATCACATATCGAATTCTGAATTTTTCAAGTATCAAGTTGAGGTAGTTACATCGGCCCAGTGGTCCGATGGTAAGGCGTTCGCCTACAATACTGAAGGTGCCGGGTTCGAATCCTGCGAGATGCAGGAGTAGTGAATGCGCACTGCTGATGAGTCCCATACCAGGACGGAACGGCCGTCCAGTGCTTCCAGGTTTCTAATGGTGGCCTAACAATGATTGATTGATGATTACAAATGTGTAAAAACACAAATCTCCAAAACTCTAACTGAAAATATTTTTAATTCATAATCTAATGATCTACATTTTCAACATCTACTATTTTATAATACAGCAAGACAATTATTTAACAGAATCGATTACTTCTGTTTTACTCTCTATATAGCTAAGCACTAATCAAAACTCCTCTCAAATATACTTGGAAATTCGTCACTAGTGTGCAGGTGATGAACCTTTCCAAGTGGTTGTTACATGCGCTTACTACCCATATCAATTCAATTCTGGAGCAGATCTTGTTATCGACCTACTCGAGTTATCGTAAGTATGAAATATTGAGGACGACGACAAAACATCTCAGTCACCTCTGATTATTAGTGGTTTGCTAGTTAACATTAATGTGTCAAGTGAAACCATATCTAAAATATTATTAATTCAAATGAAATTTATGTATTAACTCCATGTATTTCTTCAGTTTCAGTTACATAGTTCTATCAGTTTATGTGACATAAACTAAAATTGTTATGTAATTACTGGATAAAAATGGTATAAGACTGTAAAAATTAAATAAATTTCTGTTATTAAAGTCTTTGGATAGCACATTACTTTTTCGATCATAACTACTCATAAAATGTAAATCATTTTGGCAATAGAAATAATTCACATATTGAGAAATCCTTCATGAATTTAGGTACAACTTATTGATGAGTTCCAACTAGCTCGAAACTTAAGTCCATGGTTTACTCCCAGCTACCTACAAACACAACAGTAGAGAAGCAGTTGGTTATTTTTGAAAGGTTCTGGTGGCCCGCTTCTAACAGAAACTAAAGAACTAGAGATTACTGTTCCAATTTAATAGACAACTAGCTAAAGAGGATCATCCATAACCTCACACCAGATTCTACCTAGAATCGTCATATTACCGTAACATTAAGTGAATGAGTTTTAATTCAACCGTTCATATACATTCATCATCAGAGAACTGAAAATATTAAACACGATTAGTAATCAATGTTAACCAATTTTTTTTCTTCAGACAGAACCATTACCATCAAAATGAACAAATCGTTTAAGTCATTTGTGAATCTAAAAATAGGCATTTGCGGTATCTGTCAATCATCATAATTGACTAACGATTTTTTATAGAAGTTGGTTGAATTTATAGTCACTAACTGTCATAGATTGATCTTAATTGAGGTAAAATTAAAAGCCAGAAAATCTAGGACGGATATTTTATTCGTAGTATGAAACTTCTCATCAGTGTGTGCCCATGATCACTCCAGAGATTGAACCCAGAATCCTTAGGTTTCGTAGAGAACACTTAACTATTATTTTACTACGAGGTTGATATCCAATGATGAAATTTCAACCCAAATTCATTTGCGATATTGGATGACAAATGCTTTACTTCAGACAAATAGAATATCTGTAGGTTGTGAGAGCATACTACTGAAGTGTCACATACTAAGACGAAACAACAGTGCAATGATTCATGGCTTTCAATGATACATCAACTGAATCAATCTGTAACAAGTAAACGTACAAATAATCACGTTCATTTACTGAACGTGAATTTTTCATGGTTCCGTGAATGATTTATTGATTTGTCTTTTTAATGATTAGTCAACTAAGCTGAAATGTATTTCTCGATACCTAAGTTAAAAAATGACGTTCAAAATTTTGCTTGCTAGAGAGAAAAAAACATAATTTGAAAATCTGATAAATATTATCAAACTACAAAAATAAGACATTCTGAATCAGAAACATCACCACACATAGATAGATAGATAATAATAAATATAGTTTTATATGAATAATTAACAATTCAATTCAATTCAATTAAATACTTACCCATAGAAAATTGTGTACATCGACCAAATATTGCATATAATAATGGACTTAAAAAGCTAATATACAATCCATAGACAGGTGGTAAACCGGCAAGTAATGAATATGCCATACCTGAAAATTTTTTTTTCATAAAGAACACAACACTTCATTATTCCACTCATCTTTATATTATTCACATTTTGTTATAACAAATATATAAAATTATAATTGATATGTGTTTAATTGCTTAGCGTTGGAATTCGTTGACTTCATGTACCTGTATCTCAGTATTGACGTTTACATACTGAGAGACTGGAACCCATCAAGCAATCAGCCCGCTCGCTATGCATTGATTAATTTTTTTAGTCCTAACTAAATATGAGCAACAGGAAATTACAAATCATTAAAACACACTTGTATGCATAACACGCAAAGGGTAGGTAGGATATAGTTTCTTTCTTTTTATTTCTCTACACAATATGTTCCATTTAGAGTTCAGACTGATACATATATTGGGGAATTAACTTGTCAACTAATATGTATGCAACTAATGCGAATTTAATGAAATCAATCGAATTCATTTTAATCTGCTCAAACAGTTGTTCTTGGGTTTTTTTTCATATAGTGAATTATTATGAGCCAGAAAATATTAGATAATTGTTTGGTCAGAATTTTAGAACTATCAACAGTGCACACCGAAAAATTAACAGTGATTTTAAATTGAATATAATTCAGGTAGCATTGAATAATCCTTTCGTCCGAGTACGATACTTCTTAACAGTGTGCACAAAAGAACACATGTAAGGTCAAAGCCAGGAACTTATGGTAGTGTGACGGTCATCTGATGCCAGTGTTGGTAACTGCTCCACTCACAACCTATCTGAACTCTACAGATCACAACACAACACTATCAGAAGTTTGATTCTAATGAATGTAGTCCATACTGACATCGTCTAAAGATATATTGAGCAAGAAAATAGTTCGATATTCTTATGCATGGTCATGATATTACTGTTAAGTAGGCTAATCATAGTTCCAACTGATATGGCACATAATATTATTGTTATTATTCAACCAGTATACACCCAGATCAAAAAAATTGTAATGAAATAACAACAACATTTCAACACCAATACATTCTTATTAAAGATGAATATATTGGTCAGTCTCATAGAAAAAAAGATGTATACATTGCATTTGCATGAAGCATTGTTTCCAATCATCTACAATTTGACTAAACTATCTTGTAATGTAGTATATATATTGCAGAAAATAAAAAATATATTTTACTGAACCACTAGACTTTGTAAAAACGATTGTATCAAATTCAACTGTAATAATTAATTTGTATATATACATTTGATCAAGCATACACATACAGGAAGATGACTAGCCTATCGTAGTAAATAAGGTCCCTTAAAATAATTCATATATGATTTGCATAAGAGAATTCATTTAAAGTTTAGTTTTCTACGGAGGATATTTGCGACTTAGCAAGTTTAAGCTTTGTGTTTTTGTCCATGTATAGCCATTTTCGATAAGCATTCTCGTAGGGAGGTTCAGCTCGGTGTCTGTGAGCTCCAGACTACAAATTCTTCGTATCTGCATAGTGAAAGAGATGAGTCTCGTTATCAGCTAATGCAGACCCAGATGCGAAAGTTTGAATGGCCATCACATAAGGGTTTTTTCAGATAGGTCCACTTGGAGTTCCATCGCATTTTCTGGTCATTTCGACATCAAGAAAGTGAACAGTTTGTTTTTTTCCAACTTCCAGATGAGTTAAGTCATATTTATCGTCAAAAACGACTAAAATACTACCTATATACCTACTATACAAGTGGCAGTTGTCAATAGTTGTTTTACAAAATGACCATCGAGAAATCTACCAATAGTGGCCAAAACTGAGATTCTGTTGCTATGCCATACCTTTGTCCATAAATTAGATCGTTGAATGTATGATTTACGTTAAATAAGATTCTGGTATTCCAATATCAATGTCATTATCATTTATGTATTTACAGATAAAACTGATGGTCTCTGTGAGTCGGAAATAAGTGAGCAATGATTCGACATCAAATAAGAGAATAAGTTTATCATTTACATTCACTTTTTTAAATGATCAACAAATTCAAGTGCCTTGTAGATAATGCATACCAATATGTTTATTTATGCATCGTGGATATCTTCGTTAACTGCACGATCGTTTCTCATTCTCTGAACAAAATCGAGGTTAACCGAACAAGCTACAGGTCATACTCTGTGCTGATGATATTGTTAAGAAGTACAATGAAAGCTCCACAACCAAAAACAACTTGCTTAGAGAATGAAACTCCATCACAATCATCCACCTGAGCTACAAACTTTTTGCACCATCTCTTAATAATTTCATTTGATTACTTTTCGATCATTTAGTTCTTGTTTTTTCTCATCGATTTATTTGAAGAATTTGGTGTCGTCCGATAATACGTTTGTTATTGTGTTGACTTAGATCTTACGGTCTAACAGTAGAATGCCTGCACCTATGTTGAGACGCGTTATTAACGGGTCGTTGTTGTTTTAAGTAGCTATAATTGATTTTGATGTTCTTTAGTTAAAAGCCCTTTACTTGTTAATTTTGTGTCCACATACTGGTTGCATCTATCGAGAAGAGTAGATTTGGAACGTTTGAACTCCTGATCATATACTGGGGGGTTTGGACCATTGATCTGTTTAATGAAATTTCCGAATTCAGTACGTGTGATAATTTTCAGATGACACCACATTCTCCAAACGAATCGATAAGAAAATCACAACCAAAACGGAGAAGCAAACTGAATAAAGTTCATAAGAAAATTGACAAAGGCACTTCTTAGCTTCCTAAGCATTGTCGAAGCACTTGCTATATATCTTATACAACCGCTTCTCCTACCATGGTCTTATTTTAGTATTATTATTGTATTCATATTAATATGTGAAATATTTGCGATTGTACAGCTTTGAAAATGAATTTACCATAAAGAGAACTCTCCGCTGAACCAATCTTTCATACATATATGAACAGCTCGACCAAAATTATCAGCTAACAAATACTCCGTATGAATGTGTACCATCAAACTTATTCCATTTTTTTTAACATTTAAGAAATATTGTATAATTGTGAATTAGATTTTTTTTTTAGTATTTCAGATCTAACTGTAATTGTACTACAGTGCTACACTCTATCGACTTTCATCATTATACTGACCGTTATTTTGATTTCGTTTGACCTATTTTGCCACATATATTCGTAATTTATTCATTAAATATTATGAAAACAAACCACTTGTTTATGGTTTAGACTGTTCGAAATGCACTGTATAGATTATATACGAGTTTTGTCACATGAGAATCAAACTGTGAGCCAGTCAGAAATAGTGAACCTCAGCAGAACCTAATCGCAATTCAGAAACTATAGAAAATTGTTTCGTACCACGTTGCAACACCATAAAAATATGCAGTCAATGAAAATATGATGAAGGTAAATTAACGATAAATATTGTTTTCTGTTTAAAATAAAAGTACCATACTAACTGTCACTACCGATAAGTCTGTTTTTTTGTTGACTGGATTCGAATACTATAGTGCTTTAGAGATGATAACTAATTTTCACTAATCCAATTTGTAATGTGACCACCAAGCTATGTGAATTCGAGACAACTGTGTAACGTTGGTTCTCGCGATTAAAGGCCACAATAGTAGGCTATCAGTGTCAGTATGGTTATGAATAAGAAATGGTTCAACTCTAACACTCGTCAGCCCTAAAGTAAAAATATTAAAGGAAGAGCTTAGAAATTTATATCTTTAGGTTTATAAAGATCGACAATCAACAGGTAATCTGTTTACTATATGGTAAGACTCTAGCGTTACCTAAGCTTTTAGCATTATTGTGCGCAAATCACATGATTTCTAAAATATGCAATAAGTAAGATTGAAAAATGAACCTACGTCAATTTCTTCTTTCACTGAGAAATGATAACATTCTCTACATGACGACAATACACTGGAGCTTACTGCAATGAGGCTTGAATTACAGTGTGTACAATTTGTAATCACTAATCATTGACTTTAGATTTTTGTAGTTTCACAATATAAAATACTTAACCGAATAATGAAAAATTATCACTTAGAGCCTTTAGTGGCTTAAAACTGGCTAAAAATTAAAGTGAAATTAACTATCATCTAAAATGTTAGAAGTAAATCGTTTGATCTGTTCAAAAATTTCCTTCAATGTATTGTAATGTAATTCGTTAAATTAATTTTTGTCTATAACAAACCTTAATTCAAAAAATAGATCAATTGTAAGTGTATAGGTGCTACAACGCAACGATTATTCATGCTTTCAATGTTTGACGAATGATTTAAAAATTTTTTTGACAAATATTCGAATTCAGGAATAGCAAGTTCATTATCATCAAAATATTTCAAGTAAAAACACTGCTTGATTACAATTAAATATGTCAACTAAGATGTTTAAGGTTGGATTTACTGAAAGAAATATAACTACTTACACCTATTTGATGTTACACAAATGCATGAAAAAAAAATTATACTTGCCTTGTGGAATATTCATAACACCTACTGTCAAACCACCGGAGAGATCTTTCAATAAGTCTGATCGCCAATTATAATGTAGCAATGTGTCGATACATGGAAATACAGACTTGACAAAGTGTATCGGATATGATTTCCATTGTTTTTTACTACAACATAATAATGGTTTCATACAACGACCATCCTTGATACTTGAATCATCATCTTGAGACATTAATGAATCCCAATCTGCAATCGGTCGACTGAATGCAATACGTCCTAACTGAACATTTGTCACAAATTTACTTTCATGCATAGTTTCGCTTAGATTTGGTGATTTACAATCGGTCTCATTATGACTAACTGAAGTATAATGTGACATTATACAGAAATAAATTGAATAGTATTACATAAATTACTTTTACTAACAGTTTATATATATTATCTGCTAAAATGACTAATGGACGGTTAAGACCTACTATTATGATTTGTAGCTCATCACTAGTCCAATCATAATTACGACTTAGTGTGTGTGCACAGACGCACACGCACACACATATATATATTTACAGACATTGACACGATTTCATAAATTACCACAAATGTGTAACGAATACGAACCTGTAGAACGTTTTAAATTCACATAGTAATTACTAATATACTAATGCAATGTACGTGCGATATTCAATAAGATAGACGAAAACATAAAAACCGAAGCGCAAAAGTAATTAGAAAAAAATAACAAATTAGGCAAAAATAGATTTTGGAAAAACAAAAATGATACACAGGTAAAATTTAGAATATTTTTTTTACCAAAAAGTGGAGTCAATTTACATGGGTAGAGAATGAAGACAAATTTCACTTTGTTTTTGGGTGTCTTTGTGAAATAATCATCATCATCCTATAATATTCACAAAAACTGAATTCAGATAATTTCTGTGTACGAGTTCATGATAAAGTTTATTTATATCAATGCAGAAATATTCAAACCACTGAATTCATTGGAATAATAAAAGGAAACGATGGGAGTGAAAACAGTAATTATAACAAGTGTAAAAATGGGTCTTTGTCTTGAAGGGATTGTGGAATATTTAGAAGTAGAAAAATGTTTATAGCTACAATTTTAAAGCATCTGATAGAAGGGAGCGAACATCTCGTTCACTAATTCGATTGGACGATATAGAATTCACAATGGATAAACTGAGATCCGAGGCAGTTGAATTCCAATTACCAAGGACTTTAAAAACATTTTCGTTTTCTGTCATACCATCTAGACTGGAGCATGGTACAGGATTAGTTGACTTTGACCTTCTACTCTGGGGACCAACACGAGTAGCATCTTCAGCTTCTTCAGTTTGTTCCGTGTTGCATTCAGTTGTACAACCGGTCACATCTTGTTCCATTTGTAACTTCTCAGATGCAATACGAAGCATACCCTCTTCTAAAGTGCCTTCAGAGATCAGTCGTATGACGTGAACAGGACTAAAAAATTAAAACATGATAGTTTACAGGTGTAGAGTTTTACACAAACTTTATACATTGTTAAATAAAAAAATAATAAAAAGTAAACTTTCAAGTGTGAAGGTATGATTACCTACATTATATCATTCATTCAACAGAATAATAGATTTACCTTTTAGATATGACTAGTTGTGAAAAAATGGGACATAACATCATCAGCGTTTATACTTAATTTGTAAAATATAACAGTGATGCTACAAAAGTATTTATGCATATTAACCACCATGAACTGTAATTCGTACTCTATATATTGAGAAAGATATAAAAAATTTGTTATATTCATTCAAGTTCCTGATACACAAGATAATAATCACAATGAAATGGATTGGGTCTTGGATAATTTCACTGAATTCAATTGATGAAATTGGCTAAGGTGAATATATCAATAAATGATGACATATCATTAATTTGACACTATGATGTTAATTTATTTTGATGATGATAGCCTGTTTTACACACGAAGCGAAACTATTTTTAAAAGATCATGCCTACTACAATAGGTTACCGTATGCTTGATATGATTTTGACGAATTAATAATGTATTTAAATCTTAAAATGTCTTTAGCAGGCGCACTTAAAGCCCACATAATGTATGATGTATAAGACACATACGGAAGTACAAGAGTTGGAATATTTTCTGGATAAAGAAAAGAATATATTGGGATTGATGCACAAAACAGTGTAAAACTAATAGCAGATAAACATTGTTGAAAATATAATTTGATTCGATTAGTTACAAATGAGATATAATGTTAGAGTTGAACCGACAGGAATAAAGTATATTTTATGCTGAGCATTTTTTCACTGCAACTCAATATATGGTACTGAATTGAAAAACTCGTTAAGATTTGAAGCAAAATGTTGTAATCAGTGGCGATGCTAAAAGTATTATGTAATGAAATTAACAAAAAAATTTAAAAAAGATTTGAAAAAATGTAGAGTTTATAAAAATGAAAAATATAAAATAGCCGTATGATACGACGTACTTTTTCTGACCAAGTCGATGACAGCGATCCTCTGCTTGTCGATCATTATACGGATTGAAATCGATATCATGTATAATGACAGTATCTGCACCAGTTAAATTAATACCCAGGCCTCCAGCACGTGTTGATAACAGGAAAACTTCAATCGATGAGCTGTGTAAAGATCAACAGGAAATTAACAATTCCAAGATAACTAATATTAGTTATTTAATTTAGAGAAAAGTGAGAATTTTAACCGACAATCTCTTAATGTGGACAGTTAGGACTTCACTGATATTTGGTAAGACCAAACTAGAATACTAAATCAGTCTATGAAGTCACTCATAGTTACACTCAACTGTATGGGTGTAGTTGAGGATTATCTGATTATTAGCCCTGCAATCATGCAACCATTGATTAGAGATTTTAGGTGGCATGGTTCAAAATCAATAGAAATGGTTTCGATTCATTCATTTTCTGTCTTTCCTTAAATCTGGGATTTTAAAATTATCTAGCACGTATTTATTCTGTGGATGTTATCTTTCTTCTTGTATCTCATCGTCCATGCCTAAAATTTCACGCTGCTCATACTTTGCTTATAGCCCTACTAATCTAACATTTGTATTGATGTGATTGCACCGCAACTTGAACTGATACATATACGTGCCAGAGAGTATTTAGAGCGCTGTAGTTTTAAATTGAAGATTGTTTCAAATTATTAGATAAGTAAATCCCTATTGAATAATCATATTGTACATACGGTTTCATTCTCTATGCCTCAAAATAATCTATCTTTTCGAATTGGTTATTTTTGCTTTCAGACAGAAAATTTTTTGAGATAATTGATAATTTTTAAAATTTTAATGTAAATTCATGGAAGTGAGTTGATTGAAAAAAAAATTTTATTCCCTACAAAAAATCTTTCTTTGGTCATCGAAAAATAAAATTTCGTTCTTTGTAACTAAGCACTTGACGTTTGAGTGGTGCAGGAGTCGTGGATGCGCACTGCTGAGGAGTCCCATACCAGGAAGAAACGGCCGTCCAGTACTTCCAGGTTTCTAATGGTGGTGTAACATTGATCGATTCATGGTTTCAAAAATGTGCAACTTAACAATCTTCACAACCCCGTAATACAAAGACTAATTAATCAAGTACAAGTAAACTTTAAATCTAGAGCTAATAATCTGATTATTGTAAATTGAACAGTGCTTGAACACAGGAGTTAACTGGGGAAAAAATATTTTCCTATAAGTCAAATTTTAATAAAGATATAATTGAATGACAATTCTAGTATAGAGAAAAACATTGATAATAAAATGTGGGCAAACTATTGCTAAATATTTACCTGTTAAAACGATCTATTAATGTTTGTCGCTCTGATACAGGAGTTGATCCATCCATTCGTACATAACGCCTGTTAGTTATCCGTAAAAATTCCTCTAGTATATCCAACATGATGACAAATTGACTAAAAATCAAAATACGATGTCCTTCAGAGATCAATTTCGGTAAATTGTCATTTAACCATTGGATTTTTCCGGATCCAGAAATAATAGATTCAGGTGAGAGAGTGTATGGTGATAAAACCTGAGGATTTAGAAACATATCATATTGTTTATGTTGACAGAGACAAACATATTTATCTATTTTTCAACTAGCAATTTGTATTGACCAAGTTTATGGGGGAAATGCTTGCATTTTCAATAAAAGTAGTTATAGAGCTTACCAAGCTACTTAATTACTACTAAGTAGCAGTACACAAGCCCATATAAAATGAAGCAGGAAGGAAGACACTAGACAAATCTAAGATCCATATTTATAACATTCATTAAAGCCATTCATTCGGTCAATATGATCTGTTTAAGAAAAGTTTATTTACTTGATAACTTGCACAAATTCATGAAATTTTATTTGATATTTGTTAATAATCTTTTAAATAACAAATGCTAAATATTAGAAACTCAAACTACTAAAAACCTCGAATATTACAGATGAGACACTGCCTTCACTACTATGAATGATAAATCAAAAAGGTAAACATAAAAACAGGCCCATCGAAATCCTCATATTCAAGTTGGAAAATGAAAGTATATACGATTATAATAAATTAATGCCGAAATAAAAAAGACATCAAACTGAACGGGTCGAACATCAGATCCTTTCAGTTTGATAACAATGGGACTTTGTTGCACCTAAATTAATTTTAAAGTCAAATATATCTCTTGTTTTGCTTTATTCTTCGACAATTATAAATACTGAGTGTAACGCTACTTTTCACAGGTACTGACAATCAGTTGTAAGTATCTGTCGAAAAAGCAGAGTTGGAAATAAAAAGTAAATCTATTCTGCTGTAAATAACTTGTGACAAAATCGATTACATAAACCAGCATATAATGATCAAAATTAAGTTTCGAATATCAACAACCAGATAGTTCGAACTCGGATTCAATGATACAAATTACATGCCCGTTAAACAAGTTGACCACTTTATGAACGCGTTGGGGTTGAAAGAGAAAGCCACTAGGTTTGAATACAGACTTTGATATCGACACTAAGGTTTAGATAGGTACATTTACGTAACGAGCCCCAAATAGGACGAAACATCCTGGATTCTGCTGCTAGATACAAGTCTATGTTTATCAGACCCATAATAAAGATGAAGCAAACTTACAAACAGTGTGTAAACCCATACATTTTCTGTTAATTTAGCATTTTAAGTATTCTAAGATAGGAGATGGCACGATTGTGAATGATGAGATAGGATAATACACCGTAGAGCGTGAGAAGAGCTTAATTTACGTGTATATTAAAAAAATTTTGAGGAAAGATACGACAATTATTTTTGATTCAGTAGCTTTTCACGTTCAAAAGAGTCATGAATATTTGCTCTGCATTCTCTGGAATATTCATAATAGTTTTCGAACAAAATGTCAGTGTATTTTTATGGGTTTATTTGCTCCTGTGGAGGTGACTAAGTAATTTCTACCATGGAGCTCACTTCGAAAATGATGTTTGGGTAAATTAAGCGGCAAATTACATACAACTACTCCACTACAGACCACGTGATCGACCCGGGTGGTCCATCAGACTGTGAAAGATATTTCAAAATTTGTAAACAGTTTATTCACGAAATTAAAAAGAAGAATAAAATCGTTAAACACAGTAAAAGTATTTAACAAAACAAAAGTTCAGGCTCACAATATGCATAGAAAAGATATGAGATCGTTATTTAGTTATCACCGCTCATTTACGAATGAGAATAACAATTTTAAGCTCTCAGTATAATTTAATGGAAATTTATTTTGGTTAAACTATTAGTTTATTTCTATTAGTTTTAATAAACTTTAACCTTTGAAACGATGACTATTTTTATTTGCTGAAAAATACAGAACTCATAACATGTTCCATCATATCCACTAATCAACATTTGCAAGTTTAGCATATAATTAATAACTAAGCAGACTACATTAAAGGCAAAAATCAAGTCGTCAAGGACTACACTAGTTGCACTAGTTTAAAAGTATGGACTAAGCAGAACTACAGTAATAAAGGTGCATTACAATTTGAAATTCTGATAGTAAGGTGTAACAAAAGAGATATACATAATCCGAAACTTAAAACAAGGATAGTAAAATTAACTTATTCACCAAGTATTTGGATGTAAGACACACATTCAAGTTTTGAGGGATAATGGTTACTGCCGTAGTAGGTAGCGCGCAGTGTTCAAATCTGCGACTTAGGGGGCTGAAAGTCGAATACATTAACTGTTAAGTCAGTGTTAAATTAAGGTAGATAAATATAACAACTAAGTGTTGTTAAGTTACACAATATACAACATTTTAACTACCACTTTTATCATGAATATTAAAAATTTATTCCAGTTACATTCAGTTAAAATCTTAAACAAGACATCTAAGTGGACTATTCTTCCATTGAAATTTCTAAGTTAGAGGTTTAAGGATGAATGTCTAGATATGCAGTAAATTTCACATGTTTATTACTGGAAAAAGATAAAAAACAATAATTTAGAACTAATGCACGAATTTAAAATGACCACAATATGAAACACAGTACGAGGTTAAACGTACCTCATAAAATTGGCAAAGTTTATGTATCTGATGATCACTCATTGCCTGTAGGTCTTCATAGATAAGATTAGGATCAGAATTAGAATGACTTGGATCTAGGTGCAAAGAATCTGCAATATCTCGAAGGTTAGAATCTGTGTATGCAAGACCAGAGAAAAGAGCCTGGTGATTTGCTGCCTTGCGTAACGCTGTAACCATATTGCACGGTGACTGGAGAGACTCAGAAATTGATTTAGAAGTGACTGGAAGTGATTTCGTCCCATTTACTGAACAGTTAAAATGAAATAGCAATAAGAAACATAATGACTAGATGCGAAATAATGAACCAAATACTATTGATCTGCGGTTTGAACTAGTCAAACATCGATATTGTATTACAACAAATTTTAGTGTTCACAAGGAAACCGAGACATTATGAATAACAACTGGTAGAAAGTATGAAAACACTAACTGATCTGCATCTAAGAGACTTGCATCACCAAATAGTTGTTTCTTAATTTACCTAGTTTTGACAATGTTCTTATTGGGAATGAACAAGGAAATGTTTAACTACATCACACATTCTACTACTCACAAGTAGTTCGTATAGGCCAAATGAAATTGGAATCCTGTAAAATCAAATTGTAATGGAAATAAGTTTACTAAACCACGTTGACATGCATTAATGTAGTTTATGAAACAGATAACGAAATTAGAACATCTATGGATAGTTGATAACGTATTTGGAAGAGTTAAATTACACCAAACTACAGAATTAAAGCGTGTGCGAACAAGAAATATAAATGGAAGGAGAAGAGGGCAATTACGGATACTTGCAAAGTTCAACTAACTACCTGTAACAGAAATATCTAAACGGGCCTTCTTTCCTGATGTACATTCACTATCCAAATCACTAGCATCCGGATCAGCATTTTCATCACCATCTTCACATTCGTTATTCGAAAGAAGTGACGGATCTTGACCATTGTTGTTTGTGTCTTTTAATGATCGCTGGGAACGTAATCGTTTAACAAGATCGTGGTAATGAGTTGATTGGGACTTTGTCATTGGTACTAAAACCACTTCACTAGTTTTTGGAGGAAGTTGCCCAAGGACCTAAAACAAAATGATAACTCATTAAAATAAGCAAAGAAAATTGATGAGACGATGAGACATATACACATACACAATTTCATATTGAAGCATCGAAACTACTGGGTTTTGTTTATTTCGAATGACAAAAAAGCTCTTCTGATAAGTAATACTCCCCAGTTATAATCGTGTAAAAACTAATTTTATGATATGTAAACAGCTGTACATCATTAAAAATCATCATACACAGATATGCTAATATAAAATAAAGTGATTTATACAGAACATTAGAAGAGTGAATTCAGACTATTTAACACATCTGTAAACAGGGGTCAAGATATTTTGAAACTAACCTGTGACTTTAATCGTCGTAAACAAAATGGTTGCAGCAGGTTTTTAGCTTGAACCAAGCGTTCTTCTTCAAAACTGCTTCGGACAGGACTATTGTCAACTGACTGATCTTCGTTACGAGAATTCATAGGTTTCTAAACACAAAAATAGTACGACAGAAGTACTAAACAATTAGGACTAGATAAGAAACTAAACAAAAAGTCTATAAACGTGCTACCAGAAAGATAACACCTTTCTCAGATTTCATTGCAAGTACCAAAAAATGATGAAATAAAACACTATTGAACGTATATAACTCCAACCTTTACTTTTTATTAGATTCTAGAAAAACATTCGATAGTTTTTCAAAAAGATTACATGAACAATGTGACCAGAATAAAAAATTGAGCCGTGCTTAGGTGATTATGATAAATGACACCAATACCCGTGAAAAGACTGGTACTTAAATATACATTAAGTCTAACACGTTAGACTCCACCAAAAAACAGAATAAAGCCAATCTGTGAACATGGAGATATATATTAGTGCTAATATTTCAGCTGCTCCGCGTTTAATGCAACTATATACATATACATCTGTTGATTTGAGTACGCATATACCGATGATTGTGTTATTATTTGTATCGAAGATAACACGTTATAAATGAATAAATATAGATTACACAGCTTACTGAGTAAATCTGAAAAATTCTTTTTAGCAGATCAGTGCTTTTCAAGAACATTTCCGGCATAACAAATGATAACAGGGATACTAGCTCCAACAAGTTGTTTTGAAGAGGTGTACCTGTAAGAAGTAAACGTCGTTGAACTTTGAAATTCATCAGATTTCGATAACGTTGAGAAGTCATATTTTTTAGCATGTGTGCCTCGTCAAAAATGCCATAATGGAAGTTGACGCGTTTCATTAGAGCCCTGTCTTCAATAGCACTTGTACCAACAGCATAGCTATAATGGAGAGTGGGGAATTTGAACAAATATAATTACACATCATGGCGATGATTATGGGAACGAAAATTTTGAATAAATTTGTTTCGCAAAATGTTAGCTATAAGTAGAATAACGTCATATATAAGATAGTAGGAAAACCCACAGGTGAAATGCAACACGCCGATCTGTATAAAATAGTCGTTGAGCCAACAACACTAAAACTTATCCTAAACTAAACACGTTCGTACACAATATCTATTTAGTACCATCAATCAAATTGACACTTCTTCAGTTTCTAAACTTAAATCTGAAATAGGATATAACTGTTTGAAACAACACTATTTGTTTATATTTCACCTGGATTTTTAAAATACAAGACAGTCTGTAAAAAGAGATGCTAGCATAAATACCCACCTAGTTAGCAATACATTAAAATCTGGTTGAGACTCAGATTCATAAATTTTTAAGCGGATTGCCTTTCGTTGTTCTGCAGATCCTTGATAAACAAGCACTTTTAAGTGAGGACACCAAAGACTTAATTCACGCTGCCAATTATCTTGAGTTGAACTTGGACAAATGATAAGATGTGGTCCACGATTCCCACTTTCCCAAAGGCTAGCTAAAAAAGCGATAGCTTGAACTGTTTTTCCTAGGCCCATTTCATCTGCTAATATTCCATTGACTTGTTCGTGGTGTAGTAGACGAAGCCAGTTAAGGCCAACAAGTTGATAGGGCTTCAACTCACGCCTAGAATACAAGGAGAAAAAAATGTTTTGACAAACAGATACAAATGATATCACATAATATATTTTGTACATCTCAACAGAAACTCTAGATTATACTTACAAGGGGTTTAAAATAGCCGGTTGCTGGGTCACTAGTTGAACGAGATTACCATTTGCTTTGTTTATGGAGAAGTCATCATGCTCATGATCAACGCCATCAGATCGATTTTGATCGGTCAAAGCATTTTCAGGTAAATCAATGGCATTTTCCAGTAAACGTGCTGCATGACTAGCAACCTGTTCAGTTAGACGCTCACATTTATTCAGTAAACGGATAACTGAAGAACGAACTTCTAAAATATCTTTACAACACTCATACAAATTGGAGGAAAGATGGCGAACTCCTGACAGTTGAGTAACCAAGTCTTTTGTATTTTTAAACGGGCGCATATTGATAATAGCCTGTGCGGTTTTTCGAGAACAGCCTGGCATCAGAGTGAGTTCTTCCAATACAGCATCGTTGAAAAAGGATAGAAGGTGACGGCGTTCTTCAGTCGTCAAGTCAAGACCCTACAAAATATTGGAGAACATCAGAAAATATCCAAAGTACTAAGGATAAATTGAATTAATAATTTTAAATTGAAAACGGAGAAAATATTAAACTGGTAACATGTCATCGAATTCACCGCGAAGTAATAAGAGATTCAAATTTTCAGTTTCCATAAGAAACCCACTGCAGTTTTAGCTTAACTTATCAAAACGCTTGAAATCTCCAAGGACTAAACAACTTAATCAAAACTATCATTTTTGGATGACAGATAAATACCTACGGTCGCATCCGGATATCAACATACCAATTTTCACGCTTATGTACATTCTTGTACAAAAACCGTAATCATTGACTCACTATTTGAATAAGAATGATAAAAAATATCTATAATGGCTTTACAAAGCAATGAACAAATATATCGCGGTGACATAAAAACAGGGTATAACGCAAGCTATAAGCGGATGATGATAAGATATTATGTCATTGACTAAATGAAACCATGAAGAGATGTATCACTGGAAATCTAAATTTTCCAATCAAATGTACTTACATGACTTTAGTGAGCAAGCAATAAGCATTATTTACACTGAATATCTTTGTATGTGGACGCATCTTTATCAGAATAATCAGTCACAGTTCGATGAGAACTAATTTCACTCAAACATCAGCAGACGGTCAATAACAATTATACAATATATAGCACGTCATTTATACTATCCTTTTACTATGACAAAATTTTAACACTTTTTCCTCTCCTGAATCCGCTTCTCAAATGACCGAATGGACAATCAAGTCAAAGTAAACTTCTAGTGAAAATCTACACTAACATTTTCTTCAATTTAAACTACTCATGTACCATTTGTTAAGTGATTTGTCAGTGCTAGTTACTAAGAAAACATCCTTAAAAATTGTTGAAGACAAGCAAAATCATAAATATTTCTTTTTGAACATGAATTTGAATTAACCTGGAAACTAATTAAAATAACATCCATGGATCAAAATCTACTTATCTCAATACCATAGTAAGAATGTTTAAAAAAACAAATTTGAACCGAACTTTAAATTACATCATGTTAATTTATCATGTGATAGCATAACGTTAACTTGTGTTTCAACAAATTTCAAAACACGGTAAAAAAAATAGATGAAACCTAAATATAAAAATGAGAAAGGTCGAGACAGAAAATTAGGTATTCATTACACATAATTACTTTAGTGACAATTAAAAAAATTGTCAGTTGACTTACATCATCTTCTGTAACAACCTCAACAATAGGTAAATTATTTGTTTCGTTATTAACAACACCCTGAACTTCAGTTGTTAATTGTTGACGAGTTGTTTTTCCACGACGTGCAGGTCGTTTACGATTAACTACATGTGATAAGCATAGAAATATTGTTGTTCATTTAATATAAATTTCAAAAGCTAGTACGTTTGTATGCATTAAGATTTAATGAAAAAAAATTATTTGTATTTTTTCGCCCTTAGGTTTATGCAGTACTACTTGATTAACTAGAAATACAGTAGTAATATTTTTATTATCTTAAAGGATAAAAATTTTTTTATTTATTAATGAGATTTTTGATCACTAAGATTTGAATAGACAATTCATCTAAACATAACAGGTATAATTGTTAGTTTGAATAGAAATGTAAAAGATTGAAAATAGTTTTTATTTATGCTAGTTATTTGGTGTTACAAGCAACTGACACACATATACAGCCTTATGCATATTTTAAAATCGTTCGGAAAAAAAAGAAAAAAGTTTGATTAGATCTTATTTTTGTTAAATGGCTCTTTGAATGAATACTGTACATTCATTTAATGCACTTAAATTGATGTATTATTCATTTCAAAAAGTAAATATTGGCCGGATGTAATGCTGAGTCAAAGACAATACGTCAACCAACCCCGTGTATTTGATATCTCACATAATTAAAACAATTAGTCCCTTTATTTACTGACAAATGCTTAGTGTTATATTACGTAATTTATGTACAATGTCAGTCAGTCAATTACAACGTAGAAATTCGTACGTAAGTACATCAGTTCAGGTTGCCATACCGCATCAGCATAGAGACGCAATTATCAGTTCAAATCTCAAAGTGGCAGAGATAGTAAAAGTATTAGCAGTAATGAAGAAGACCAGGGTTCGAAGATATGATTCGAGAAGTATAATTCAGTGAGATAACTTTAGAAAGTGAAAAATAGAGATGATGAGGAATTGAGAAGGTTAGAATTCGAAAGAACACAATGAATGAATGAGCAGAGTAAAGAAAACTGCTAAAATAAACTGTCCGTTTAACATGAAGCTTGACGCTGAACGTAAGCACCAGAAAATAATAGTATGAACTCATATAAAAGCGAGTGAAAGAAAAGCAACACGAAGTGTTTTGTCCATAAGAATGATAAACAAATATATATATATATATATATATATATATATACTAATCGATAGATAGATCAGATGGTCATTTTGTAAAACTTCTGAAATGAATTTAGTTAATGATACTACTTATGATTACCATATCAAAAATTCAAAAATTGTAAGTATGAAAACTCAAGATCGCAGAGCATGACGTCAAATTATTTGAAACAATATAATTGTGTAGGTAATTGATAATACATAAAGCAAACAACTAACTACATTTTACGAAACGAATGTATTCATTGCATGGAAATTATGACACTTAATTTCTTGAGGAATCCACCTGCAGCTACTTCCGGACCCAATATCGGACAAAAAAGGAGGGTGGGGCAAGGGGTTAGCGACCTCATCCCATAAAAAACTCACTTGGGAGACCAAGAAACTGTCCCAAGTTGCTGAAGAGATGAAAAGATAAAACCTGGAGGTGCTTGGAATCAGTGAAACACATTGGATGTAGGTTAGACAACAAAGAATAGCTTCAAGAGAAATGCTATTATACTCCGGCAATGAAGAAGAAAATGCCTCACATACACAATGAGTTGCACTGATGCTGTCCAAAGAAGCACAAAATTCACTATACTGTGTAAATTTCTGTCTCTTGAAATGACACATAAATTCCAAGTCCTAGATTAAACGTGTCTTTCTATCTGCTACTGAATCACTATATTATTATCAATAATATAATAAGGACATACAGGGATTTAACTATTTAGAATTTAACTGTTTAGAATATCAACTTACCTGAATTGCTTACAACACCAACTTTAGCCAGATATTTAACAGCATCCCTTGACTTCTTACTCGAATCATCACTATCCAAGTCAGATTTCGCTGCAGATGCAGTTATGCTGGTTCGACTAACAGGTGTACTAACAGTGGCAGTTCGCATCTCACGGTTAATGTACCCACGTTTCTTTTTTTGTGCCTCGCCAACATGATCTGTACGAAAGAATCGGTTGCCTGATTGCTGAATAGCTGTCTCTTCGGAATTCGATGTTTCAGCATCGTTTTCCTAGTAGAAAGAAATCAATTGTTTATCAAAATAAAAAAGATGTAATACATTATGAAACAGAATAAAAGCAATAAAAAAAATGATATCACTTCGGTAAAGTATAAACTTGAGGAACAATAGAAACGCAACTAGTAACTAATTTTGCAGCAACGAACGTCTGGACGATTTTATGAGTACATATAGAAATCAATATACTCAGAAAATACGTTTCATTTCTTACCTGATCCTAAAGTGAAAGGGAACTCAACCAAATCTGAATGCTAGGAAGAACATGCAGGAAATAACGGAAAAATGTTGCTGATAATTTATTAGAAATGAATAAAGTTTATTCAGAATTTTCGTATCTTCTTAGTAAGAAATAATATGATTTAGGCCGATACGAGAGTTTACCAGTAGTGGTAAATAAAGTGGACATTTTTTAATGGAAAGTAAAGTTTTTAGAGTTTTTCAGACGTAGACCAACCAAACGTTTAACATTAAAAACATGAATTTGACCTAGACCTTTTCAGGGGCTATTCAAATAAGTTTAGAAAGTTAAAGACTTATCACCTATTTCATTAGAACTCCATGTTTTGTTGAAACGTCCACTAAACGAGATAATTTACTAAATCTCTTTACATAAACTATACAATTTATCAACCTCCTAAGATGCAGACATTTCTGAATATAGATCATACTGTTACTTGCACAGTAATATTGTCTTTGAACAATATAAATGAATCACCATACTAAAAGAGCACTTAGACAAGTGGATACTAACAAATAACTAGCAATCTGAAATAAATCTAAATGTTAGGAAAATTTGAGAAATTAGATCAAGATGAAAATGAATATTTTTAAGACATTTTTTCAACAATAACAACTAATCATGTTTCCTGCTCTATCACTTCAGAGAAAAATTTTAGCAAACTACCATCTTCATTTTTTGAGTGCAAGCCAAGTGAATGGTGCTTTTATACGCAGTAACGACATATCTTATAATAAACAGTATATACTACTACTAACAATAAAAATAATAATAATAAAACTTCCATAACATGATACAAAAAAAAGCAACAGCATAAAACGCCAGATATAGCATGCAGATAAAAACATATTATATATCTACGAGACTATGACATAAATGGATCATTGAAATACAAAATAAAGGATTACCAATGTTAACAATTGCTCTCCAGCTGGCCTAGGTGGAGACTGTCTCAATTCAAATGGTTGGTTAATTGGAGGCAAGATAGTTGACATAGGTGATACTTTCAGCTAAAAATCAAAAAAATTCCGAATAAATCTTTTTTGTTTAGAATTTAATCTACTTCTTATAAAAAGTATTTTGCCTAAACTATTAAACATAGCTCTTCCTCTCATTTAGATACGCTTATTTGGCCATTGCGTGAGAAGTACTACTCACTAACTTTTCGCGATGATGTTGTTTACGAAATTACGTGGACAAAAAAGAATGTCTGACGCTTAAGCCGGGTCAATCGGTACTGAGGATCTAGAAGTTGGGGTTACAGTACCGTGAGGGAACAACTGGTATATGAGCCTATTTTGGATGACCGGCTAACGTGATACTGCAACTCCTCGAATTGCTACGCTGTCTTCAGAACTGGATCTCTAGGTCAAAACTAAGAAGTGGTTTCATAAGGATACCACTTAATTCGGTTCGGGCACCCGAACAGTAACATAGCTCTTACACAGAAACTAAATTATGACATTAACTGGAAGTTTATGCTCGCTTCAACCCTCACTCCCACAAATCGTACTTTCAATTATTTGAACATTTATTTTTATTTTAGATTGCACCACTTTTTTATTCATTTGTTCCTGTTTTGAGTATTCCTTACTCTTCAACTTAAATAGCAGCTGGCCTATGGTGAAAATGTTGTCCTATCCAAACGATCTTAAGTCACTGATTGGTCGCAATTTGAATGCTGCCGTTGAACACGAATTCCGAATCCGACTTTCTGAAACCGCGTATGCCATTCAAACTGGTCTCCTTCAACGTTCAGACAGTAATGCAAGTCAGACAACAGATAGAGTTGGCTGCCTTTAGAAAGTCTTAACATTGATGTTTGTCCTCAATCCGAAATCTGTATTCAGGAATATAGTGACGTACTACACATTCAGTAACCACCTTTCGCTTCGAAAAGCTTGTTTCGTGTGCGTTTATTCGGAGATCCTGTGGCATCGCTTAGTATTGCTGTCGTTGGAATAGCATTAAGCGCTAGGACCAAGGCAGCGCTAAGTGACTGGATCACCATTAATAGTCGACTATGTGCTGCTAGATTAAAAAGCTTCATCAAAGTGAGAAACGATTACTTTTCGCCATGTCCGTCTACGCCGTGGCAGATTGCAGCCCGGATGCAATGAAGAATGAACTTTATCACTAGTTAAGTGACCTTCCCTAGAGATTAAGTTCGACAGATTTTGTAGATCTGGTGGGAGATTTGAATACACAAGTCGGGTTTTTAGGGACAGAGGAGGGCTAGTGGGGACTTGTTGGTCACATGTCACAACGGTGACTGTCTACCTCAGTTTAGCACAGACTAACTATCTATACAGTCATGGCCTATGCGCAACTTGGTGTCCTCTCTCTGCTGCTCAAGTCTGAACTCAAACTGATCACATCGCTGTCAGCTACCGCTAGCGTGATTGTGTACAAGACAGTCACTTCTTTCGGAATACTTATCCAGACTTTGGTCATGCTCCTGTTCGCCCTAACCTTACGTTTCAGTGGCCAAAAACTAGATTGTCGTAAATAGTTAGTAATTTTATTGGAGCTTATGTCGTAACTAAATATCAAACTAAGCTCCGTCAGCCAGTCAGCCACAGCGTAGAACTTTATACGCACATACACCACAACAGAACAAAGAGATGAAATTGTCAGGCCGAATTCCAGAGCGGTGGAGGTAGCAGCAGTATTAGTGGTAATGGAAAAGATTAGCGATTAATCAATTGATTTGCCATTCTTATATAGTACCCTTTTCCTAAACTCAGCATCGCTTACACGATGATCCCAGAATACACAAGTAATACTTAGAAGACACCTATGACCGAATCCTAGTAACTTACGAATATCCCCTATTCTTAGTGGACGTTTCACACCTATAAAGTAGGACGGGGCGAACTGCTGTGCAGTAAACTCGCCGTTAGGTTAGCACACGAATATTTCGCCCACGTTATAAGTGACGCGAGTTAGCAAAAACCAGTCGTGCCTTTTGTGTCTGTGCTGAGATTTAGTCACACATCAGTCCATCAGTACTGACCAAATAAGTGAAGCGGTCAACAAGCTCAACTGCTTCACTCACTATAACTAGTTTAGGTGTCGATGCAAGCCGATTCTGAAGCAATAATTTGTATCTCGAGGGGGAGAATCGTGTCCTGAACATGCTTGCATTGTTGCTTAAGGTGGTTAGAAGACTGCATTTGGTCAGCTTGTTCATCGAACAACTATATCATATGCATATTGTAAGTCAACAAGCGAGTATCCTGGTAAATGGTAAACTCATAAAAAGTCAGAAGATGAAAAAGTTATCTCTGAAGGCATGTCAAAGACGAAGTTAAATAAGAATGTACGAAGTTGATAGCTGTGAAGAACAGCACTTGGAGTAACAAATTCCAGACTACGGGAGGCAGCAGAATGGCTTTTAGACACATGGAGCGTAAATCGAGATAGTTCTTTATCTTGATAAGGGGAGGCCAAACGAATGACTACTCATATTCTTTACGCGCGTTTCGGAGACGTAGCATACATCAGTGGGACGAAATTCTAGAGTCCTAGCTGAAGATGCTTGTTTTCCTTTTTGGTACAAGGTCCGAAAATAAGAAGCTCCAACCTGTAGTACAGAGAGTGGTTTCGGAGGGCCAGATATAACATATTATGAGCTAAAATCACTAGCATTAGCGGAGCGAGTTGATAACGGTATAACAGAAGCGTTATTAGTGAACATAAGAGAGTTATTAAGAGGTGAGGGAAGGATTTGATCATAAAGAAGCTGATCTCGTGTGCGTGATTACTGAGCCCAAGCGACACCTGCTTGAGGCTGGTCAAGCACGGATATTTTGTGGGACGTTTTCAAAGTGTTAGATCCGCCCTCCGAAAGTACTTACCACCGGAGATGGAAATCTGTGGGATAAAGTGAGGTGTGACATTCCTAAAGTCGACTTTTTATAACCCTTTCCTTCTGTTGTGAGGAGGCAGCATCGCTACAGATGCTGGTTACTCGAGGAGAATAGCTGATATGCTTGAACCTATTACAATTTCACCTTACTCGGTAAACAGAACAAAGATCATTGATACAGTGACACGATAGGCTATTCTAATCCGTTTGTCCCAGGTCCTGCTAACTCGATCAAGAAGTCTTCATAAGGCGTAGAGAATGTGTTCTGCAGGCACCCAGAAAATACGAAGTTGCTAAGCACTCAACTCAAGCTTATTTGTACAATGATAGAGGTACAAAACAGCGTACTAAAATAACCCATCAACTAGTGACAGCTTGTGACTGAGTGCTGGTAGGTTGAAGGTATCAAGCAGGATGTCAAGGGGAAGATTTCCTGCTCTTGATGGGCAATCTGGGGCTAGCCGTTTGCGTATTTGATTTCGATAGCGTGACTATTTATTGCCTGCTGCCTCTACATCGTACATAACTCGCCCAACTCTTCTGACCACTCGCGCTTCTGTCGAAGGACCATGGTTTGTTCTGTAGTCACAGGAAACAGGAAATTCAACTTCGTACGTGGATTGCCTTTCCGACTTTTTCTGCACCGGTGTTGATGCATTACTCGGATGAATCAGGCTGTGGATCGTTCTCAGTCTTCTTCCCATCAGGATTTCTGCTGGATACTTTTGCTCCGGTAATGTCTCATTTGATGTTGTTCGATAAATGCACAAGGAATTTCGTAACGCGTCAGCTGGTGTCCCCTCATTCTTTGACTTAGCCAATCTTCTTCTAAACGTATTCAAAAACCTTTCTGCTTGCTCGTTCGGCTTTGGGTGGTATGGTGGCGAGCGTAAGTGCTTGATGGTTAGCCGTTGACAGAAGGCTCGGAATTGGCTAGAGGTAAATTGCGACCGCTGTCAGATACAATTACATCCAGTATGCCATTTCGCGAGAAAATTTCAGGGACGAGCTGTTATGTTGTAGTTGTCGTGGGCGGCATTACGAGGTTGATTTCTGGCCATTTTGAAAAGGCGTCGACCACAACTAAATACATAGTTCCATTGATTGGACCAGCGAAGTCAACGTGTATCCTGGACCAAGGATGATCAGGTTTGGGCCATGAAACTGGCGGAACTTTGGCATTCATCTTTGCCGATTGCTAACACCGCATGCATTTTCCAACCAACTCGGTGATATGTTGATCTATTAGGGGCCAGTGTGCGTAACTCCTGGCTATGGGTTTCATTCGTTTAACCCCCGGATGACCAAGGTGGAACTGTTTCAGCACTTTTACGCGGAGTTGTGACAGAACCACTCTTTCTCAAAACGTCAAGTACTCGTTTACGATGCACAGTGAATCCCGCTGCTGATACAGCTGCCTCAAGTCACCATCAAATTTCTTAGACGGCCAACCGCTGGTGACATAGCTCATCGTCATCTTAATGATGGGGTCGTTCCTAGAAGCGGCTTGTATGTCTGTTGCAGACACCGGTAATGCTCATATTGCGGTTGTCGGATAACATTCCGCGTGGTCTTTCGCTGACAGAGATGCGATTGTCATGTTTTCCTCATTAATGAGTCGTGACAAAGCATCTGACTGACCGAATCGTTGAGTGCGTCGGTATTGGATTTGAAAATCATACCCCAAAAGTACCAAGGCCCATCGCTGAAGACGATTTGCAGAATGGGCTGGGATACAAGATTTTGACCCGAATATCGCGAGCAGAGGCTTGTGATCTGTGAGAAGCGTGAATAATCTCAGACCGTACAGAAACTTATGGAAACGGCGGACAGCAAACACAAGAGCATGAGCCTCTTTCTCTATCTGGCTGACGCGTCTGGAAACTGATATGGATGGTAGTGCGTTAACAACAATTCCGAGCTAATTATGGACTTAAGTTTACAAAACGCCGCGTTACACTCTTTAGTCCAATTCTAAGTGCTGTTCTTCTGCAGTAGACAATGCAATGGAACGCGAATATCATGCATCGAAGGAAAAGTGGAGAGATGGACAATAAATGAAATGGTGTCGTCGTATGGAAGAAAGCTGAGCAGGACTGGATTCTGTTGACTTCTCGCAATTCCTTTGTTCGGGGTCCTACAGATGGTGTGACTCAGTAGCTTGAGACGTTATCAGATACGGCCCAGAACAGAAGCCAGTGGCAATCCTGCTGTAATTTACTTTTACTTTTTCATATAAGGGAGGAAAACTTACTTATCTGAGTATCGGTTTTGGTTGTATTTTTCTAGACTGAGTTGCTTCCACCATTATCGTCATTTTACTCTCACACTGATCGCTACTCATTTTTCTTTTATTTTCATAGTACTCAAATTCATTTCTATATCTCTTCACAATCTCATTCTTAATGTGTGACGCATATATATTATAATGCTCTTGGTACCAATGTTGATGTGTTTAGGTAAAATAATAGGCGATAATATGTAGTATACCTATTTCATTTCAGATAAATTATCGCAACAAAAATGCACTTTACATACAATAGGTGAACATGGATACAAGGTCCATCAGAAAAATCTTTGTGAGAAAGATTTTGAAGTCAAAATGACTTCTACCTAGTTTGAAGATGGATGCAGATAGAATAACTTTATACCCACAAACTTTAACATCAGGGATCAATACATTGCGTTTTAAAGTGATAATACGCTTTAGGATAAGAAAGTATTGAACAGTTACAGCTCAGAGAAGATAAATGATGTAAGTTTGAGTTTTTGTATATGAATAAGAGGACATTCGTAGGTTACTGGTTTTCAACCACAGGCGTCTCCGAAGCATTGCTCGTATATCCTGAGACAACCAAGTAAACAATGCTGTTGTAAGGAAACGGGTACTAGATAAGGATGGTAGATCAATAGATGAAGTGGTGAAACTTCATCAATCGAGGTGGTTGGGACATGTGTTACGAGTGCCCAACCACTAACCGCCTCAACGAGCTGTTTAGTAGTGTTGGGCCAGACCGGGAAAAAGCCAGAGGCGGCTAGACCATAACATGGAACAAATCCATGAAGTCACTGACAACTTGACTGAGCAATGCTGATAAGTGTCGACTACCTGGTTGGGGTCCGCGAGACGATAGTAACCGATGGTTAGAGACCTTGAATGACATGGCTCAAAATTGTTTGTAATGGCGCAAGTGCATCACTTATTTGTCTTCCCTCGAATTCTAGTCTTCTGAATTCCTCATCACCTTTATCTTCCTCTTTTTAAGATTATTTCACTAGATTATACTTCTCGAATAATATCTACGAACCCTAATCTCCATTACCGCTAATACTTCTGCAACATCTACCACCAAGGAGTTTGAACTGACAATTGCACCTCTGTGTTAATTTGGTATGGCAACTTGGCCTGACGTACGTACCGACTGAAATGAATAAGAGTTAATATAGTAAGGTTTCTTAACTTTAACAAATTCGTTTGAGCAAAAATGAATAATAAACAATATCTACTCACTCCAGTGAATAATGATGGTTTAGGACGCGATGGCTCACAATGGAGGGATGGTGTTTCCAGTACAGAACTTGATAAACCTGTAGAATCTAAAAACTTCTGTTCATGTTCATCGGCAGACTCAACAGTGCCTTCAGGTGTAACAATAACTCGGCGATACAGTGAGTTAGCAACATGGGGAGGGCAACGACCCAAAGGCAGTCCCATACAGAGGAAAGCTTGTGACTGAAGAGGCAATTCCGGGCGAGTGTGAGTTTTCGAGTCTGTTGCTAAAATACACAAAATATCCATGTCAATAATAAACAGTTAGATCCAAGAGAGAGTTTTTTCCCAAGACACTGTGCTGATACTGATGGTCAAATATATGAGATTTATACAAAATAAAAGTTACTTCATGGCAAAATGATATTGTAGCATACTTCCTTTTTGATAGTATCCCCGTATCATCATGAACTTCCTCAGATGTTTCAAGAATCATATAAGTGGAAAAGCTGAGGGGAAATGGAGAGATCAGGGACCCTAAACTAAACTTAACTTCCGTCTGAGACAGGTAGTTTCCCTTCAAAACTAACCCTCGTAGGGAAATGTCATTTCTGACACCAGAAATCTAATACCGTTGTTACATACTACAAAATGATCGTAGTACATAATATATATTCGCTATTCATATTCTCAGCAAAAAGATTTTTATTACTGCTTTAGAAAGCTTTTCTGACTCAAATATTTTATCCACAGATGCTATCTATCAGCTGTTATATGGTAGACAACAGGATAAATAAATGCGAGTGATACAATATTCACTAACATAAACCAAGCCCTATATAAATTAATTTGATAAATATACAATACTAAACAGAAATAACACTTACATCGTTTGGACTCAACCTTTGGTGCTTGAATAAGACGAACCTTCGCGCATCTTTCACGCTCTCGATCATCTTCTTCTTTTAACTGTTCATAACTCTTCTCATAACTAAGCATATTACGAGTGAAAACTCGATTGATGTAAGCCCTCTTAAAGCGAGGAAACAATTTTAACAGCTTCCCTAGCTCCTGTACACAATCCTTTCCTTCATATGTCCTTATTTTTTTCTCCATTCTGTAGAAATTTTTTAAATTATTCATGAAAAATTTAATCAAAGTAAAACTGGGATGTTGTTTTATGATTTTATTTTAACTAAAAGAAAATGGTGAAGTTTTAAGATGACTTGCTTGTATTTAGTTTGGTGCAGAATGATATATAATTAATGTGGCGTGAAATAAATACCAATTTTATTTAGTAAATATAAACTGGCACTAAGCAAACTAAATGCTGCGAAAGTTCATGTGAATCTCTAACGAGCTGCTTTTAGTACATAAATATAACTTGTCGTAACTCGAAAAGTAAGAACTCATTTATATTGATTGTTTGGATCTTCTCATTGACGTTTAAGACTGCAATTGATGCAGATGCATTCAGACAATGAGTGCCACGTAATACGAAGTGCGCAATCTTGGACTTCATTGGTAAATCATACCCTCTGTTTATTTCAAGATTGATCCGGATAATCTTTTGTACAACCTTCCTAGTTAAGTAGCAGCAATGAAGCAATAACGGATCATTAATCTATACTTAAAAAGCAGCCTAAATATCTTCAGATCTTTATGACACTTAATATTTTGAAATAACTTATAAGCGACTATTTTCGATTAGCTATAAACATACAGCCTGTCATTTGTAGAAGTCTCCACACTTCACAGTAGTGTAGTGAGAGTTAGCAAAGTGAAAAGCAGATTCGACAATATTAACAGTATTTGAGAACTTAACATAGGAAATATAGGACGGATGAAATTAAGGAGTGAAAAAGTATCGAATAACATTGCCAAACAGTAGTGTGCTTCGCGCATTTAAAGCTAATCAGATTTAGATTTTAAGTGCCAAGTCATTATCTACATTAGAATATCAAGAATCAATTCACTTTATTTGAGTTTTTCTTCGAAACTTAGGCATTTAACGCTTTAAACTGTATTCAGAAAGGAGGCTTTTAGCCAACTTTTATGCCTTAACCAAAAAATATTCCAATACAACTTTCTTTGTTTTGTAATTTGACTTTTTTAGGTTACGGAGAATTTACCTAGGGGAGTTAGGAAAAACTGATTCCAAAAAACTGGTGAACACGAGGTCCAGAATCCTGGGGGAACGGACGGTGTATGGACCGATTTTTGCTTACCAGTTACAATGGGACAGCATCTCATGACTCCATTTCACTGTCTTGTAGATCAGAGCCCTACTCTGGGAGCGGTTACCTTAGAAAATCATTTGCTATGGTTTGGGTTTTACGATAAATATACCACACGCGTCCGAACTCTACTATGTGTATAACATACTATTTTCGGTATCTGCTTGTGCTCGATAATATGAGAATTAAATGAATAAAAAGTTTGGTGGCTATATTAATGACTAGCTAAATAGTATTTTAAAATCACTATAGACTAGTTCTGTGAACTGATAGTGCATTAACTTTTCTGCTGTTTGACTGACTGTTATATATAGGGTAAGTTTAGAATACCAAAATAAAAACAGTCGTTGTAGAGAATCAGTAGTTCAGATATCGTAAAATCTATTTGAAATTTTATTGTACAGGTTTTGATAGTGATAAAAAAGTATAGGATAACGGTAAGAACAGTGAATTGTTTTCCACATATACTTATGAACATTTTATGCATCTTACCATAATAACCCAAACAAATTTATGGTAAATATAAGGAATTTTTAATTATGACTGGAGCGTCAACAACCTAGTCCCTTGTAGGTAGATAGGTTTTTTATTAAAAAAACAAACAGGTGCTTACACATCATCTAATGGAACAGAAGAAAATCGTCCACGGCCACGTGCTTTTGAACGCATAGTTGGTGTGAAAAACTGGTGTGCTCGTCCGGTAGAATTAGCGCCACACATCAAACCAACGTTATCGTTCATACTGATGGGCGAATTCATATCAGGAGTTGAAAGTGAGGCAGATGATTCTCCGATACCAGGAACTTGACCGTGAATTGGTAATGTAGTCAAAGAGTCCATATTAGTGGTAGTGTTATACACTAGTTAAATGACTTCACGCTAAAAAGGAATACTTACTATTTAAATTGACTATGTAATGGGGCATACTGGATCCTTCTAAAAGACGAATAAAAATACATTGGAAACACTTATTGTAGATAGAAAGTAGTAAAACAATGGTTAAACAATATTGCAAGTGTAATATGAGTCCACAGAAGAGTCAGATGTAACGTAGGATTTGTTAAACATACATCCACTACATTTGGGTGACGAAGGAAAATACGCATAGGAAAAAAATTATGATAGTTAAAAAGACTATAAAAAAGATATAATCTAAAAAAGAATGAAATGAAGGAATAGAAACTAATAAACTATACTACAGCTTAACACTCGAAAGAAGGAAACTTCAGGCACCTTTATTAATTCAGTCACTAGTCAATGACGTTAAATAAACTTCAACCAAGGATTTTGCATCAACTATGGTCATTAATTTAATAAATTAATTCCAAGTACTGGTTTGGTATTTAGTTTTCTGCCACTATAATGCTAAGTCATCCAAGTGGGGGAAATGTAAAGCATGTCCGAACTACTAAAATTGATTAAGATTCCCAGACTGATCAACCGATCTGCCATATTTTTCTGGTGCTCTACCTAGCAATGCTTGGAAGAGAACAGGACGGATACAACTATACCAAGTTAGTTATTTAAGAAATGATCTAACAGCAGCATCAAAACTACAATTAAATACTGGATTACCCACAATAGGAACAAACAATAACTTTTAACACATTGAAATCATCAATCAATCATTTTGTTGCACCACCATCAGAAACTTGGAAGCACTGGACGGCCGTATCGTCCTGGTACGGGACTCATCAGCAGTACGCATCGACGAAAAAATAACTCCTACGACAATTTATCGCGTTTATGCAATGATTGGCAATTTTAAGTATCCACTTCGAATTATTTTTTGTGAGAATTGGCTTAGGGTGAGATAAGACTAATATGAATTGTGAGAATTAAAATTTTTCTCTTGTACTCACAAGAAAATACAGGTAACCTGAGCTATGGGCTATACAACTATCGTAGACTGCGCCCGGATATTATGGTATCAATTAATAGAGCTTATTGATGCCTTATATAACTTACTGAAATACCCTGAAAACTTAAAACCTAAAGAAGAATTCCATATCTGTTTACATCGTGCGGCGTGGTGAAAGGCAATTGGGGATGCGCCATACATGTTCTAACTACCCCAGTCAATGAAAAACATTCTCAACAACAGACTTGCTGCTGACTTTACTAGAAACGGTAATTAGGTGAGTTATTCAGGTTATTAACGTGTCAAACTGGTAGAATTTTTAGGTTACATCATAATTCCAACGTAGGAGATCCCGACCTTAGACGCTACCTTGACGTGCTGGTCGGGTTCGCTTATCATGATGATTCAAATGGGCCATAATGGCAGGAACATATGTTTCTTCCTTCACCTCTTAGTAACACTCTTGTCTTCACGATTAACCTCGTATACCTTTATCGACAAGTGCCCCTAATGCCAGCCATCATAGTTCATGATGTTATATCTGGCCCCCTGAAACCACTCTAAACTAAATGTTGGAGCTTTTATATTCGGACATTGTGCCAAGTAGGAAAACAAGCATCTTTAGCTAAGACTCTAGAATTTCGTGCGATTGATGTATGCGGCATCTCCGAACTCATATCTTCAACATAGAAAACCAGTGCAATTTACGCGTCACTTATCTGGAGACCCCACGGCTACTTCCCAAAGTCTTGGTGGTATAGGTATAGCATAAAATTCAAAAGAACCTGCTCTCGTACACTAGATCCCAGTACACAGTCGCTTGTGTGCTGTCCGAATAAACAGGATAGTAAGAATTCGGAAAGATAAGAGCAATCGCAGTTGCTTCTGTCCACACCCACTGATTGCAGCTTAGTTGAGGTAAAGGATGGATTTTACGGAATGCATACCAACCTTCTTCAAAAAGATAAGCACTGATGTAATAATGGCGACTGGTAATTTCAATGCTTAAGTAGGTAGACTAAACGAAATCGAAAGACATCTAGATGAATCTTATAGTATCGCAGGTTATCGAACAGATAACGCCAACCGTCTGCTACAAATATGCTCAGATAAAAACCCATTTCTGGCAAACACTAACTTTAAACACAAGGAAAAATATCTATTGATATGACGACCCCCAAAATCGACTAAATGTTGTAATCGAATAGACCACTACCATCAGCTATCAATGGAGAGACTCGATAGAAGGTAGAAAAGGCAGTGGGGGTAATTACCAGCAGACGACTATTCAAACTTATTGAGGAAACTAATATTTTAAATCCGAATGTTGGCGAGACTCTCGAGGAAAGACGGGACTACTATTCACTCTCAATCCAGGAGATTGGATTGAAGGGCAGGGCAATTGAGGAAACAGTTCAACTACCTTTCAGCCACACTTTTGATTAACTGGTCTCAATCCATAAAAAAGGACAAAAGTCATCTTGTGGCCATCACAGAGGAATCACCTTAACTAATAGTGTCTAGAATATTAGTCTCAATAACACTTCGACGCCTAACTAGGGCTTGCGAAGAACAAACTCGAGAAAACCATGCTGGTGTTTGACCTGGACGTGGATTTATGGACCAATATTTACACACCGACATGTCCTAAAACCGACAGACATTTTGAAGTCCCACAATAGTTATATTCCCTGACCTTACGGCGGAGTTTGACTTGTGTCGGTCACTGAAAGGTGTACCGGAGAAGTACATTAACCTTACACTGGTCTGGTGAGAGTTTATGATGAACTGCTGTCGGGATTTGTAACACCGTTGAAATTTTTATAACGACTCAAATTATATTAAACTAACATCTCTCAAGGTAGGATTTGATTGTGACCAATTCGGTCTTGTGTGCTGGTACAGGTGTGTTCTCTCAAATTATAACCTTCTGAATTCTTCGTCTTTATCTTCCTCTTTCTAAAGTTATCTCACTGAACTATACTTCTCGAAACATATCTTCGAACCCTCATCTTCTCCATTACTGTTATTACTTCTACTATCACCACTATGGGATTTGAGCTGACAATACAGTGCTAATACAGTATGGCAACCTGAACTGAATTGTACGTTGTAACTGACTGACTGAACAGTTCTCAAGATTCCCTGTTAATAGGCCATAACTAACATAAAGCATGGCAAATGTGTATCAGCACAAGTTGCTGCACCACGTCAGTACAGTAAGAGAGAATTGAAAGATGAATGCGAAGATAGAAATGACAACAGAATTAGTAGTCACGAAAGATAGAGTACTGAAGAATGTAGTTCTAAAAAGGGATAAGGTCGAGGAATTCAAAATTAAGCAACAATATTGGGGATTTAACTTAATGGGGATGCAAAGATCTAGTGTATCTGGGCCACCGTAAGAGATTTTGGATTATCATCTAACGTTTCTAACCACTAGTCACGATTATCGCACATTATTTGCACCTACTAACACGGTTCAGACCAATAGTCAATGACCCGATAGACTGGTCGTACATCTTGGTTTGAAAGTCCACAGTCTTACTTCAACATACTCTCACTCCACCAAATATCACGCAGCGTGGTATACGACGAACTGAACTTATCTGATGAATAAGATCCTTGTAGCTTCTTTAAAAAATAGTAATTATTGCTGATAATTTTCAGAAGAGATAAGCTTATTTAGTTTATGATACGACCTGAGAAATGGACGACAGTTGAACAGCATCTACTTGGCTATACTGGGTGAGGTCCTATAAACAGTGCTATCTAAAGGCTTGGGATAATTGCAGATTGTCTGAAACAGACTACCTTATGCGGTTTACTTGTATTTAAAAAATACAGAGAGAAGATACTTTTAGATGAATCTGTTTTGAATGTAGTTTTGGTGTATCCTTTAGTATTCGTATCCATGACTAAAATGGTTTATTTAATCCACAAAATTCTCATTTCGTTATGTAATCACCGGAGGCGAATCACTGAGGGGATGTGTTAAGTGTGACAATTCACTGTTCGCCACACCACGCGATGGTAACGGATAGAATTATGTTAGAACGCTGAGTGGAGAACGTTGTGTAACTAGATCATAACTGATGGCTTTCGACAGCTAGCTTAGATGATTCAACGAAACGCTAATGTGATTGTGGAGATTATAAAAACCAGTTATTGCACATCGTAGATATGCTTCGATGGTTATGGAACAGACGAATTTGCCCCTTTTAAGTTTATTAATGGTCTGGATGGTAACCTCAAAAAAGTTCCTGAATTGACTGGTCACATAATTTACTCAATGTTACATAATAGTATGGCTGAACATTTCGTAAGCGCTTTGTAGAAACATTAATGGTCAGTTTCTGTAAAATCATGCGAGCAAAACAGAGAACTGAAGCTATCGTCGGAATGGATAACCATGGAGTACATCGAGCACCATGTATTAACTGATAAAATTCAGAATAACGATTTAGAAAGAAGTTTCGTTTGAGGATAATGTACTCACAGAAAGCGCATAAAATACTGAGTTGGTAATAGTATGAACAAGTTTATGGAGGGATCTGAATAATAGTTCCTGGTGTAATGAAAATCTAATAGCTGATTAGAAAGCTAGACGGATGGTTACGCCAATTTTAGAAAACAACGCGGATGATTAAAATGGTTACATCTAACTACAAGCACTAGGAGAAACAACCATAATATGAATAATAGACAGTCCTCATGTTCCTAAAGAATTAAGAAACAACGAATCATCATTTAGTGGCAAGTGGTCAATAAGTGGATTAAAGTTATGTTAGTTTGAGCTATCACTAACTCAGACAGCAAATGTTAAATGGTAAAATGTTAGTACTTTCGATACGTAGAACGGGCAGTGACTACAAGATAAACGGGAAGTATGGAAGACATAGTGGGGCTGCCTTTGTTTATAGAAATATTGTTTAGAAAGGCCTTAATAATAAGTGGTCACCATGTAAGATACTGGAAAAACAGAGATTATAGTCAGCCCCATGGACGTTTGACGAATGAACTACATTTTGATGGTATCAGTTTGATTATAAAAAAACTGTAGATTACGAGTGAGCAAATATTATCATTATTTCCACTACAAGACCAAAAATGCAACATAACTCAATCCTTCAGGCGTACATTGAGGCAAAATGTTTCAAGGGAATTCATATGGGAAAAGAAGACCAATGGCATTTATTTTTAGGGAACGTAACTTATACTACTCATATAATTATAGTAGGGTAAAGTGTGTGGGCAAAAAATGATATAGATTTACAAGCAAAAAACAGCTTATGTTTAGTGGTCATGACAAAATCATTACCTGCTTCACCGCCTGTATCGATATTGAAGCTACCTAAATAGTCTGGAGCTTCATTAACAGACGCCACACCTTCTGACACTTCAGTACTGCTTTTGGCATTTCGCTCATCACCAGTGTTCATAGTCCGGTTTTCAGGACTTACTGAAGGGGTAAACAGAATATAAGGCTTATGAAATATCCACTACCTATACCAGAGCAGTCATCCGTCATCAGAATGGAGAAAAAGCAATGTGTCCGCGTAAAATTACAACAGCACTATTCAAACAAGGTCATAAAACTATAGCACAAAAAAACAGTAGAAATGAGATAAGATAAGTAAGTAAAGAATAATTGATAATTTAAGTTGACTATATTTAATACAAATTTGACATCACTCATGCTTTTTGTGAGTCAACCGGTATCAGTAAGTAATTGCTTGGTTTGATAGAATTTGATTCATCCAATTATTTAGTACTATAGGACAAACAGGTGGAATAAACAAAGGATTCATGACGAAAGAAGAATTAATTCAAAGAATTTTCTCGTAAGGAACGATTGATAACCTAGGCCAACTAGTGTAGTCTCAGACAATCTACAAAAGTTTCGGTGAATTGTAATGCGACTCTTTACTTCAGTCATAGGTCAATACTGAAATTTTGTTTGAGGTACTTTATTCAAGCTGCTTTTAATACAGTTGAAGGCATCTAATTTCCAAAGTGGATTATTATTGATGAATATAATACCCCATTCTGAGCAATATAAATAATTGCCTTTGTGGACTTAATCATAACTAAGTGGCAACTTTCAATTTTTTCTAATAGATCTGGCATTTCCTAACGTATAAGATTATTGATGTACAACTGCAGAATGAATTCTGTATCTGTCTTTCTTTTGTTGCCTATTCTTTTCCTGAATAAACATAAGTTCATCGCTGAATTACCAGATGAGAAAGCCCGATAAAGTCATATGGCAGAAGTCTGTACATAGCCAGTCTATGGAAGCCGTGTGCTTTAAAAATTTCATTTTCAATCATTCTACTTCATTCTTTCATCTTACGTTATAAACATAACGTTTTTTAAACCGAATTCAATATTTAAAATTAATGTCCTTCGTCACTGAAGCGTGACAGTCCATCCATTGGGCAAACTAAATCGTTTTGAACTGTGCTTGCTTATGCCACAGACTATCATATCTTAAGACTAAATCTGATGTTAGTGGAATAAATGTACTAGTTCATTGCCGTTTGAATATGTAAGACTACATATAATTTATGGGTCTTGTAGTCTGCTTAATTAAGCACTGCTCCTATAACTGTACCTTCAAATAATCCTTTATCTTGGACTTGTTATCACAGGTGTCAAATGAGCAGTTTTGCGATACATCAAAGATGCTATATGGACTAATTGCTGTTGGATCACAACGGAATCTTGTCCTGCTGTATCGGATCGGTCTCCTGATGGTCGAAAGCTACAATTCTCGACTCATCAAAGTTTATTACACCAATCGGGTGCTTGGTACTATATCTTGCACAGTCATTAAAGTATACACAACTCTGTCCGAGGAATTCGGTTACAAATCCTCACCAGATAACCTGTGAGTATGCCACGATACGCATCCCTAACAACAACTAGCAAGCTTAGTTTACTCGTTCATCGACATCCCGAAATTCCTCCAAATACACCTGCGATCTCCCTCATTTCTAAGTAAATTCTGGAAACTCCATTTGAAAAGTATTGCAGATAAAAGCATTGTCGAACCCCGGGTGTCCATAATATCTGGAATTCTATTAATCTGTTTGACGAATAAATGGTAGGCATGCACTAGAAAACTAATTAACTGCCCCTTCTGCCGTGGCATACTTACAAAAGCATGTATCTCCCATAAACGTATGTGATCTGTGACAGCAAGTCAGGAGCAGGCTTACAGTCACTCCGCACTTTAATTAAAAGGGACGGTTATATATAATTACTTGTGTACGCTTCTCACCGCAACTGAGGCAAATATTGCAGAGCAGCATACAGTTACATTTTCATGCCGAGATAAACTCATGGTTTTGGTCGTTCATTAGGCACCAAAACCGACATTTTAAATTTACTGAAATTAATCCCGGTCTAAGCAACACCAAATACATCGTTTATTAAACAGTGATTTAGCGTTAATACTTTTGTTGAGTACCCCTGTTATTTTTCTGTTTTTCGAACATTCGGATTGGCAGGCTATTGCGAAGTTTTTCCGGTTATCAGTTCTCGTCAAAACAATTTCGAAACCCTCTGTTTAATGATTGGACAGCGCAAAAAATAGATACAGACAAAGAGCATGCAGTGAAGCTAATGTAAATGATGGTGAAACGAAATTTGTATGAATCTAAAGATTTGGTAAAAATGAATGCGTACGGTCAGAAAATCCGCTCTGATGCAAAGAGCTTGCTATCCATAACCACTGCAAAGGCCGAACGTTGATCATAGTGACGGGTCAGTCATCCTTTATAGATTCAAGGAGAGAGAAGTTTATGAGCCCGGACCTCCCTCTGAGCATGACGCTGAGTTGACGAATCGTTCATCCAGTGTCTCCGAATGCTATCCTCCCAACCATTGTCGATAACACACCCGGTGGTGTCGAGCCGGTTATGGTCTTTGATTAGACAATAGACTCAGAATCGCGTAGTGAATTGGCTTCGGAGGTATTCAAAAATTTATCCAAAATAGTTAATTCAATACATTGTTGGACTATATACCAATATTGGAAAGCTCGAAATACGTGTACTTTGACTCTCCACAAGTTTAAAACACCGTGTGAAGTAAAGCTATTTGAGGTGTACATTAACCAACGGACTAAGAGATTGAGTAGCACCCTAGGATTACAGAGGGCCGATAGTGTTAGAGTATTAGTGGAATTTTATTACTATAAAGCTAAGCTATCCTCAAACTACTCTAGTGATGAATATATAAAAGAAATTCCCTTTCCTTCGATTCTCATGAACCAATCTATACACACTTCGGAAATGAGAGTCGATGTCCTTAGTCTGTCAGCTAGCCTTGACTTACGTGAGTCCATGAGACCCGATGAAATGATATAGTGAATCACTAGAAAGTGACGTAATGAGAAGGCCTTCGGGAATGCCCATAATAATCATGCATGAACTTATTAAACCAGTTTTCCGAAACAGGATTTATGGAGAAAATCTGATAAAGTTCTTGAGACAGAAAAAAATTACTAGCAGCTGAATATCGACTTCCTCATTCAGTCGTCAACAGATGGAACTGGTTTACTCTACAAGTTATACCGACGCTTTCGAAGGAAAGTTGGATCAACTGAGATACCATAACTGCTACGATTAACAAAGGCCATCTATCTTCCTGTCCTCTTGGTTAAACTATCCTCCCTAGTCCCAGTCGAGTATGAAGAACCGTGATTATTAAGTGAAGCCACCAGAACATCAATAACCATCCACATTTCATGCAGTCTGTTGTCTCACGAAATGACAGCTGGTTTTTGGTGCCTAAGATGAAGCCCATGAGCATGATATGCAACAATGTAGGTGGTTTTCATGCAGCAATGGCCTTCACAATACCATAGAAATCAGCTCCTCCATGTTGTCTCATGCGTCATGTCTAACAACCATTAAGACAAAGCAACTTCTGTGTACATTAAATTTTAGCATCAGCAAATTGAACATAAACTCATTCTTTCGACATCAAGCATCAGCGTATTTGTCACTTTATCCACGAAAATTTAATTTAGTGTTCCTTGTCTCCTGGTGCGACTTGTCATGTAGCCACAGTTCTGATGTGGCTTCGTTGATCACTAACAAATATTAAGACACAATCCAGTTTTCACTAAAAGATCAGGACATTCAAACAATACTGAGAACAAAAACCGTCCTATCTCGAGGCCACTAAATCTCCGAATCTGATGGCTGTGAACTTGAGAAACCGGGAGGAACTGATTAGGACGCTTCATGCTCGTTACACCACGAAAGTGATCTCTAGTCACACTAGACAGGGTGAGAGACAACTCAGACCGGTAAGACAATAGCTAATGTTTCGAATAAGGCATACATTCATGTCGGTTGACCTCGATAAACAATCCACGATATATAGTGTGTGGACCACGGCCGCGACAGTGAAATACATAATACAGGTCAGAAACATGCACTGACCAGTTCCCACAAAACCGACCACTTCAGTTTAATCAACTTGTTTAAAAATCCGATAACTGATACCGCAACAGAGATGCACTGGGTGGTGGGGCAAACCACAGATTACCTCTGTAGTAACACAGGAAGACTGAGGGCTAAATTAGAAGAGATCCAAAACCTGTGGATTCAGATGGATCTGAAGATTATAATGTTAGCTAAAGCTTTATCGCCTCTCGAAACTTCAGGATACGAAGTTGGCTTATGAGGCATGACACTATTCAGATACGATAATGTAACAAAACACGAGGTGGAGTTGTGATATACATCAACAGTCTTTACAAAGTAGTAACACCACAATGTACCAGATAACCGATGCTACATAATCATACCGGTGCTACACGAATGACGCAAAAAACTTGATTGGAGTGATTTTTCAGCTTTCCTCGAATATTAAAGCCTTGAAAGATGAGTTGATATAAGCGATCTTACAAATACCATGCCCAACGGTTTAGTCAAAGAGTTTTAAATTTAGAAATCAATTCTCCATCCCCAAATCTCACCATGTGCGTTACATTCGTACAGGGTGGTCTCGAAACCGGCAAATCACAAACATGGATTAGGCGAGGCACAGAACGCTTGATACAGGCAAAAGATGGCTAGACATAAGTGGAAGGTCTGTGTGAAGGATTTTGATATTAGTCCTGATTTGACATCGAGAAATAGATGTATAGCCAAAGTTTAGAGGGACGAGAGACACGTCTGGACAGATACCTACTCTCTCAGTGTACAAATGAAATCTGGTGCCAGGTGATGGCCTAAAGAATATCCAGCTTCGCTGATCCTTTTCTATCCTCGCTCGGAAACCACCTACAGAACTTGACGTATCGTACCAGGGTAAATAGAGCGCATACCAGCTAGCGAGTCTCAGCAACCATAGTTTCACAGAGCATCACCTAAGGTTCACTCCTCTTCCTGGTATTGATTTAGCATTCGTTAGATAAAATCAACTCGGCCGCACCAATCTATGTAGACGACGCGAAGGTTTGGATGTCCATAAGAGGCAAAGAGGATTCATTTGAGCTTCATAACTACTTTACACAAACACTCTACTCCACGTGAAACAAACAACTTACTTCCTCCACAGAAGTCCACTCCATAGCGTGATCTTAGTACGACAACCACAGAGAACTGGAACATCAGCTCAAACTGCACAGGTGATTCAGCCAAAGTGAGCATGAATTTTCAATTTATATGAAGACAACTTGATGCAATTGCTCCTAAATCTCATTAAAATATAAGCATCACCCAACATGAATTTTGTAATACTGTTCCCGTTGATTTGTGGGAGAATCAGAGGTGATCTGATAATGGCATATATTATGTTACTTATGTTGAATCATCCGAACATGGGCATCTCGCCAAAGCTTAACCACTACACCCTTCTGTGTACCGTCGAAAAATTACACGTCACAGAGTGGGCACCCAGGTATGTGCCCATATTTTCTCAGTCGGAGTAGTCTATTCTTGGATAACTTGTACAAGCTTTTTTAGTTAACTGCGAGCTAGCTAAATACATCAGTCAGAATTCAGACATCGAGCGCAAATAAATCAATTGGTTTATATTAGCTCGTTATAAAGATACTGGATATCTATTACAATCTGAATTTTTTTTGTTAATCAGCAATTTTAAGAATCACTATCACTAAAAAATCCTCAAAACACTGATAAAACACAATTTTGTTGTTGACAGGAAATACTTATATCACTTGACTCTCTTTTTCCCGCAAGTGTTTGAAGTTGTACTCTAGTAACTAGGCGCCAATCCCAGTGTAAGACCTTGATCGCCTGGAATTTTCCTGAGATTTTTTGTAGCCTGGGATTTAGCGATGAGCCAAACTTGCTACTATGAAGTTTTGGGTGTTGAGAAAACCGCTTCAGGTGATGAGATAAAAAAAGCATATCGTCGACTGGCACTTAAATATCATCCAGACAAGAACCCAAACAAAAAGGAAGAAGCAGAAAAACATTTCAAACAAATCAGCGAAGCATATGACGTACTGTCGGATCCTAAAAAGCGTGAAATATATGATAGAGGTGGCAGAGGCCCTAATGCTAACGATGAGTTTATATTTGAAGGTTCAGATCCTTTCTCAATGTTTACGCGATTCCACTTCCGAGATCCTATGGATATATTCAGAGAAGTATTCGCTGGCTCTGGACTTGATTCTTTCTTTGGTCCAAGTCTTCATGACTTGCACGGTTCTAATTTGGGTCGAACACAGAGATCTAACTCTCATCGCAATGCTGGGCGACAATCTGGATCTCCCTATCATCATGCCGGTCGTCCCAATCAAATGCAAAGTTATGATTCCATGATATCGAACCCTTTCATGGGTGGACTTTTTGACTCTCCATTTGGTGGGTCACTGTTTGATCCTTTGATGGCTTTCTCCAGTTCTGGGTTCGGAGGTCCCCAGGCTACTTCATCAACTTCCATCTTTAGTAGTTTTGGTGGATCTCCCAATGTGGGTGGTTTCAGGTCAGTTTCAACATCTTCCAAGTACGTAAACGGAAAAATGGTTCGTGTGACAAAAGTAGTGGAGAACGGTGTCGAGACTACCACCGAAGAAGTAGATGGTCAGGTAACGAACCGAACTATTCGTCAGTGTGGGAATGGAGCCCTGCAAGCAATGTGATTTATCCTCACGCTAAAAATACTTTGTTCGCATAGTAAGACTATTAACTTTGTATAATCAGTTTGACAGTTGTTTGTTGAGCTTGAAAAAATGTAATATTTATGTTGTCTTAATAGGCATGTCTTTATGAGTCCAATTTATTTTTACGTCTATCATCAGATACCTTGTTGCTAAATTGTACCAAAGACATGCCACCTTTAAGTCCTATAATACTTAAATAAAATAAATCTTTCTCATTATTTTTGTCAGTTTACATTTTCACATGACATTCCTCACGTGATTCTCGCGTAAATTGCTTCCTTTAGTCGTCGAGCTTTCGATTAGTTATGGCCGTATGAGTTTAAAAACTAAATCATCGTTACCTATTATTTCTCTGTAGTTCCTACTCCATGATAGTCTATTAACCATTGTGGAGAATATGTGGACTAAAAGCCGTAACACTTTCCGGTTAGACGATTCAATCAATATTGTGAGATAACAAACTAAGTTTTTAGTCAGACTAATTTTACCGTTACGCGATATTCTTTTTAAGAACTCGAATTTTTATATCAGAGAATTAATTTACTAATCTTTGGTACAAGATTATGACTGAAGGTAAGGGTGGTTTCTTGGGACCGGTTTTTAAGTGATGAATGGCCGTGTACTATCCATCTACTCTAGTCTAGCTTGATATTAATAAATTCAAAACCGTAGCCATGTAGTTGGTTTGTTTTAGATTTTAAGTTTCTCCAATCTGGAATCATCAGCTAAGCGTGGGTGATTATATACAGCTAACTAATGTGGTGTTTAGTTTTGGACCGCTTGCATAAGTGTTAGTGGTGTAGTATTGTACATGAAATCAGATAGCAATTTAATACTCAATCCGTCTGCACTGCGGTGTATCCAGGAAATGTTAGTAAACACTATAGCTTACTTGCTGGTTAGATATCCAGTGGATTGAAAACTTTATTATCATGTAATTAACTAATTAGTCATTAAACTTAATAGCATATTTCAAACTGCTATGAACATTTGGTACGTTTGTTTGTGTAAAATAGTGTCTATTAACCACTGGTAATCCACTTTCTGTAGCTTGGTCAGTCTGTTACGTTATCTAGTTTAAAGCTTAGGTCGAATATTTTGCTCACAAAAAGATATTGATCTAGTGAAAGTCGGAAGTTTCAGTAGCCAAAACTTGAGTCGCTTCGTGTATGTGAATTTTTTAAAACCATCGCTCAGGACCAGTACGGCTGCTCGCATAGCCTCATCTGACGAGTACGTTGAACTTTTGGAATTTAATTTTCACTTTGAATACGACTAATTCCAGTGGTTCTATATTCGGGCCGAAAGGCAAAAGTGACACTTGAAGTCTGGACCCTATTTAACATTGTCCTATCCATTCAAGTGAGACTGCCTAAACCGACCATCAGCATCTCTTTGTAGTTTCTGCAACTTCTCCTTCGGACCTCAGTCCATGTGCAATAAAAGGCTAATTTTACCGAAAATTGTCCAATATCCTTCCGAAACCTAGGCACTTAGATATAGCAATTATAGCTGCTGACATACGGAGTTTAATTGAAGGCTTATTCACTGACGCTGCTGAAATTCGAGACCAGCAAACAAATAATCCTAATCATTTGTTTATCCGGTATTAAATTTAGACGTAGAGGAACGTTGACCTGATGATCACCAAACGTCTAAGAGAACCAGTTGAGGATCCCCACATGCTTTTACTCTGATATGAGTGTACGTCCACGCCTTAACCCAGCAAGTTGACCATTTATTCTAAATCAGCCTGTTATAATTTAAATAAGATTGTTTAAAATGTGCTTCTTTTACTTTCAAAGTATAAACCATAACTCGGAATGATTTGCATCGATGCCTACTGTGATAATAACTGTAGGTGAACATATTGGTCATCTTAGCGGCCTTGCAGCCTTGATGGGTTGGTGGTTGGTAAGACATCAACAGAAATACAGTTTGAATATTGTAAAATTATGTCACCTATAGCACATATACGTCACCCAGTTGTCGTTAGAGAGGGAGAGTAGTGTATACACCAGTCTATTGTTTATCATTTATAATGACATCTCTTATTTATGCCGCAAATATATTATAGTTGCTTTCAAGGGGTTGCTCAAGTGTGTAGTATAACCTTCAAACCAGTGATTAACGTTCAGCCTAGAACAATACATAATTGCACACCAGCTGCAGTAATTGGGACGTGTATAATATTCGGAATCACCATGTTTATGTTCATGTCACGCTGACGCATCTGAACTGACTGAAAAGTTTAATGGGGACTAGACCAGTGGCATTTCTCACCCACCAACTGCAAGCTCATTTAAAATGATATTGTATTCATATGGGTTCCCTATACATATAGGTTCTCTACACTATGTCCTAATGTGACTAAGACAGCTATGCAGGATATATGGATGTTGCAAATATTTTGTTGTTGGCAAATCTTTTGGAACTGCCGAGATTAGTTTTATCAGTTGAAGTTGTAAACTTTTATGTTTGGTGATTACGTGTTCCATAAGTGCCTTTATTAGCGTATGACAAAGTAAAGCAAGTTCCAAGGTTATCAGTACAAAAGCAACGTACCTCTTACCGTTGATCTGAGCTATAGACTTTCTGATGCGTTTTAGTAGGACAGTAGGATTCTGCTCTGAATAAGCTATATGAGTAAGTTGCATTGAAGATATACGAATACAGTTACAATAGACCAGATCTTGTATCCCAGTCTTTGAATTTATGGAGTTCATGAGCCAAATTAAGCGACTTTTTAATCTAGTACAGGTATTACAGGACGATAAATATTATCAAGTTTTGCATGATTATTATGAATGTTAGTTTATATGAAGTGATCTGGAATCAACGAAATATTCTTAGTATCAATATATTATATTTCTCCAAGGTTAGTATCAATAGTTTTGAGTGTTCTTTAGCTATGTAACATTTAAACTCGCGTCATTGTGAAGATTGACAAAATTGTTTTAATTTGCCCAACCCTTAAGAAGTTATAGCTAGTCTTGCTTCCAAATTAAAGTGACGCTGAGTTTAGATAATAGTCTACTATAATTTCTTTGCAGATACGCAGTCGGGACCCAGCACTAACGGCTGATAATCCAGGCTGGTTCACATCAAACAAATTACAGCGTGAATGTAATTTGCCAGTAGTAGTAAAACTCTAAACAGAAAAGAAACAAGTTCGGAGATGTAATTAATACAGTAATCATTATCTAAGGAGGGATAGAAGAGTGCATTCTCCACTTTAATCATTATCACACAATGTTTTCGAACAAAAAATACAGTTATTGTGGGGACTGTTTAAATCTAAACAGCCATGTCTTGCAGTCATAAGTAATACAAGAGAGGACCAGTGAAAACTTCACTCGCTTCTTGATAGACATATGTGGAAAGTTTCATACATGTAAATGAATATGCCATCTTTTAGGGTTGTCATCAAATAATTTCACTACACACAAACAGACCACTATTTTTAAACTAATCGTCAATCAACAGTGGTCCCATTTTATCATCTCTAGTGGAAAGTTGTGAAACAGGCCAATTAATTAGCAATTTTTTGTTCAAGACGTCCAGGTAACTCTGCCTGTGATTAATATCGCTTAGCATAAGACAGACCCAGTCGTTGACGGAACTCGAAAGACAAGCAATACCACTGTAATATCCACCTGCTGGAACTATCGTTAGCAATGCTTTTCAACATTTCATTTTCTCAGAAGCCATTTATAGACCACGTATCTAAGGACATTAAAAGTAGGCCCCAGTTCATGTCGTATTAGCTCTCAGTAACATTTTTTGAATGAAGCCACATTTACTTAATTGAATCGACGTTTGGAATAGTTATCAAACTAGACATTTTTACGTCCATATATTTACACCTCTTGGAATATACCAGCCTTTTGGAACGCTTTATTTGACTTATTTCACAAAGGCTGTCGTAATTAATGTTGTTTAGAGTAGGATAATACATCTCAACTCCATACAGAGCCCCTCTGGGGCTACTTCCAGACCCAAGACCGGACAAAGGAGGGTGGGGCATGGGGTTAACGACCTCATCTCATATAAGAACCCACTGAAAAAGCGCTAGACAGCAGAAATAATTCAAGTCATTTAAACTCCGCCGTAGGCGCTGGAAGGTTTTCGTTTAGAGGACTTATGACGAAAGCCCAGTTCCTTTGGAAGTCACGAGGCCGATGCCCCTTCTAACAACCAAAGCAACCATTAATTTAGGTACGTAGAATACATACGTTGTGGGTGAGCGGGAGAGTCATCCAAGTTGCTGCGGGAATGAAAAGATAAAACCTGGTGATACTTAGAATCAGCGAAACACATTTGCCGCAGGTTGGACAACAAAAACTAGCTTCAGAAGAGATGCTCTTATGCTCCGGGCATGAAAAAGAAAATGCCACACACACGAGGAGTTGCACTGATGCCGCCCAAAGAAGCACGAAAGGCACTGATAGGATGGGAATCTCATAGACTCAGGACCATCGGCTCATCCTTCAAATCATAGAAAGAGGGTATTACAGTGGACGTCATCCAATGCCATGCGCCTACCAACGATTACAACGAGGATGTTGAAGATCAATTCTACGAGAGATTGCACTCAATCGTTAAGAAATGGCCATCAAAGGACTTGACTATTCTGATGGGAGACCTAAATGCCAATGGCATGGACAACACTGGGTATGAAGACATCATGGGAAGAAATGAACGGAAATGGTGAGAGATTTGCAAACTTATGTGCCTTCAACAAACTGGTCATCGGCGGCACAGTATTTCCCCACAAGCGCATACATAGAGCTACATGGATTTCACCGGATCACACTACTCAGAACTAAATCGACCATATATGTATCAATAAAAAATTCAGAAGGTCCATGGAGGATGTGAGAACCAAGAGAGGAGGTGATATAGCCCCAGATCGTCACTTGGTGGTCACCAATGTGATAGTGAAATTCAAGAAGTACTGGAAAACATCACAAAAGTTTAATACGTCCTTTCTTCGGGATACTGACAAATTCAAAGATTCCAAAATAGCCCTCAGCAATAGGTTCCAGGTCTTTCAACATCTACTCAATAGAGAGGAAACTACCATGGCGAACAATTGGAACAGGTTCGAGGAGGCGATCACTTCAACGTATCATGAGGTTCTGGGCCCTTAGAAAACCATCACATGGCATGGATCTCCATTTGTATTCTGGATAAAATTCAATAAAGTGGGAACAAGAAAGCAGCAATCAAAATCAGCCGAGCTAGAAGAGAAAAAGCCAAGGCACAGAAACAAACAAGCAAGTGAAGAGGAGCATTAGAGACGACAAACGAAAATGTGGGGAAGATCTAGGAATGACGGTGGAAAAGGCTACTAGTGAAGGGAACTTGAGACAATTGAACGATATATCAAAGAAGCTCTCTGAAAACTATCGTAAACCCGAACGACCAGTGAAAAGCAAAGAAGGCAAAGTAATCAGTAACATTGAGGAACAGAACGAATGAACAACATTTGGATAGAACTGGGCCCGACTGTAGCTGCTGCCTTGACGCGGTGGTCGGGCTTGCCTATCGTGATGACCCAACCGAGCTATATTGGCTGGAACATATGTTCCTGAAGGTATTACCATGCCAGGCAGGTCGATTGGAGAGCGGTGAGACTAAAAGCAGCCACTCAAGTTCTGAGGGCGAAGTCGTACTGTTGACTGCAGAGGGGTGTGACAGCAGTAAGGTGTTTCCCTCGGACAACCAGCATCTGCAGCGATGCTGCCTTCTCACAAGAAAGGAAGGGTTAGAAAAGGTCGACCCTAAAAATGTCACACCTCACGGATTTCCGTCTCCTTGGGTAAGGGTGCCCATTAAGGGCTTTCAAGAGCGGAGCTAATACTCAAAAAATTTTTCATAAAAAGGCCGTGGGTGATCGGCCTCAAGCAGTTGACCCTTGGACTCTGTGGTCACTCACCCAGGTCGTTAAGACCGACACTAATCTACTTTCCTTTTCAGGTCCCTCAAGAAACAACCTTCCACAGTGTGGGCAGCCGGGAAGTGATAACCGCCCTCATACCGGTAAAATCACACGAGACCAAATTGGTCGAAATCAAATCCTTCCTACACCCCCTAATACCTCTCTTTTCTCCACGACTAACTCTTCTCACATTCATTTATCACAGTGCACAGGTAATGCAAACGATGCGAGTTCGCGAAACGTCGTTCCTGGTCTCTTGAAACCCCGTTCTAGACTACATGTTGGAGCATTGAATGTACGGACATTGTGTCAAATAGGGCAACAAGCTTCCTTAGCTAGGACTTTAGAATCTCGTGTCATCGATGTGTGCTGTGTCTCGGAAACGCGCATACAGGATCCTAGTAAAATTATTAATCTGATTTCACCTTGTCAAAATAAAGCAGCTCGATTTACTCTTCGTGTATCCGGTAGCCTTGATGCTGCTTCCAGGGGTCTTGTTGGTGTAGGCATAGCATTGAGTTGTAGAGCTTAACCCCTAGACTGGATCCTAGTAGATAGTCACCTGTGCGCTGTCTGACTGAACGGGACAGTAAGGACTCGAAAGGATAGGGACACTCGCCGTTGCCCCTTCGTTGTATCTGCCTATGCCCCCACTGACTGCAGTTCAGACGAGGTTAAAGATGAGTTTTACAGTTTTAGCAGCTAGGTTGACTGATATCTTGGGTAGAATCTCGGAAATGGACATAATCCCATCCGAATGGTCTCTATCACTGATTGTCCCAATCTATAAGAAAGGACAAAAGTCTTCTTGTGACAATCACATGGGAATAAGTCTAACTAATATAGTCTCTAAAATATTGGCCTCAATAATACTTCGACGCTTAACGAAAGCTCGTGAAGAGCAGACTCGAGAAAACCAGTCTGGTTTCAGACCTGGACGTGGCTGTATAGACCACATCTTCACACTACGACAGGTCCTGGAACATAGACACACATCTAGGCGTCCTACAATAGTTGTGTTCCTGGACCTAAAAGCGGCATTTGACTCAGTGGATCGTGAGGTTTTGTGGCAGTGTCTGTCATTGAAAGGTGTACCGAAGAAGTACATTAACCTTATACAAGTTCTTTACTCCAACACTAGTGGTCGGGTGAGAGCATATGGCGAACTGTGATCGGAATTCTCTACATCAAGTGGTGTCCGTCAAGGATGTCCACTCTCTCTATTCTTGTTTAATTTTATAACCTTATCCTCGTCTGAATTTTCAGGAGTAGACCTTTTACCAAGAAGCCCGTTTATTGACTGAGAATATGCCGATGACATAGTCCTACTTGGTGAAGACACTGACAAAATGCAGTCTTCTGACCACACTAAGCAACAATACAAGCATATTCGGGATGCGGTTTTCCTCCCCGAAATGCGAAATGTTGCTTCAAGATTGGGTTTCATCGGCACCTGAACTAGTGATAGGGAGTGAGGTAATCGAGCGTGTAGACCACTTCACTTATCTCGGGGGTCTCATCAGTGCCGATGGCCTGGTGACTGACGAAATCTCAGTACGGATACAGAAAGCTCGATTGGCTTCTGCCAATTTACGTCACTTATGGCAAAGGCGAGATATCCATTTGCTGCCCAAAGAATGAGTGTACTGCGCGGTAGTTCTCTCCGTCCTACTTTATGGCTGTAAAACATGACCAGTGAGAGTGGAAGATATTCGTAGGTTACTGGTTTTCGATCATAGGTGTCTTCGAAGCATTGCTCGTATATCCTGGGACACCCGAGTGAGCAACGCTGTTATTAGGAAACGGGTGCTAGGTAAGAATGGCAGATCAATAGATGAAGTAATGAAACTTCATCAGTTGAGGTGGTTGGGACATTTGCTGCGTATGCCTAACCACCGACTGTCTCGATGAGCTTTGTTTTGTAGTGTAGGAGTAGGTTAGAAGAAAGGTAGGGGCGGCCAGGCTAAAACATGACAGAAATGCATGAAGCCAATGACAAGTGGACTGAGTCACGTCGGTAGTTGTCGACTACCTGGTTGGGGTCCGCGAGATGATAATAATCGATGGTCAGAGACCCTGAATGACATGGCTCAAAACCGTTTGCAATGGCGCCGGTGCATTTATTCTTTGTGTTCTCTCAAATCCTAATCTTCTGGATTCTTCAACACCTCTAGTTTTGACTTTCTAAACTTTTCTCACTGAATCATACTTCTTGAGTAATATCTTCTAATCCTAACCTCTCTGATTACTTCTAATACCTTTACTACCTCTACTAATATTGGATTTGAATTGACAATTACATCTCTGTGCTGATGTGGTATGGCAACATGAACTGATGTACTCACGTACGAAGTTCTACGTTGCATCTGACTGACTGGATAGAATTGGGAAAAAGGCCCAGGACAGAGTAGTTTGGAGAATGCTGGTCGGGGGCCTATGCTCCACTGGGGTAACAGGCGTAAGTAATTAATACTACGATATTTCAACTAGAGTTATGGAGATTAGTGTTTTTACACTGAAATCATCAATCAATCAATGTTAGGCCAGTGGAGTTCAACCCTGTCGAGTGTAAGCAGTAACTATCAAAGACAAATGGGTGAGGTCGCGCGAAAAATCTCTTGATCAATCAGAGTTAGACATTACCACTGTTGGATGCCGGCCCAGCAGTCCAGAGATTAGGCGTTCGCGCGCAAGACCGAAGGTCCCGGGTTCGGATCCTGTTAGGGGCAGGAGTCGTGGATGCGCACTCCTGATGAGTATCGTATTAGGACGAAACGGCCGTCTAGTCCTTCCAGGTTTCTAACGACGGTCTAACATTGACGATTTCAGTGTAAAAAATCGATACATCTTCAATCCCAAAATTCAGTTAAATCATTGTATTTTCTGGCTTAATATTGCAATTTATTGTATGAAACTTGTGTTAGTGTTTGATTTTTGTGTGACTAATCATGTAAAAAAGTTGTCATATACATTACATCTCATTACTTAATGGGACTTAAATTCTTCCCGTTTTTTAAACCTACACTGCTTTCATGCATAACTTGGAAACTTTCACATATTTGATCAGTATAAACCTGCAGTTTTCAGGATGAAGTAGTTGTTTTGATTCAAATCACTTCACTAATAGTATCAGCGGCCGGTAAAATGACCTTCAGTAATTAAAAGGCTTTTCACTTATGATATGAAAATTACTGACCGTAAAACAAATGGATGCTCGTTTCACTAGGCACACCGAAAATACTTACAGTTGAACCTACCCATTAATAAACATAGTGCCAGTTTGAATATGTTGTGATAAAAGTGATAAACAAGACCCTAGTGTGTACCTGGAGATGTCAAGCATCGGAGTGATAATAATAAAAGTTAGTTGAGTAAAGTGATCCACAAACAGAGTTGGTAAACCGTCGAAGTAAAGCTCCGTCAATTGAAGTATGTGGTTAGACCGAAACTTGGTTGCAGTACGCCAATATGTGAGAAGTAGGCATGGTTAATATGCGTTTAAAGCCAAAAAAGTCAAGGCTGATGACCCAAACACGTATTTCATACTTGAAACGAACTTTCTTAACGACAGACAGAGATCTATTACTACAGACGTGAGCTGTTTGACTCGAAAGACCTAAACGCTTTAGAATTTATGAGTCTTGACTTCACAAATTCAGAATTTGTTCTTAAACTAAATATGCTGTTTAAGCATGAGAAAATGTGTGGCTACAGAATTTAAAGAGAATCAACAAAAAATTCAATTACCAGAGATATATTTCATCAAGTAATGTACAAGTGAATTTCGTATTCACAGTTATTGTGTTTACAATAATAGTTAGGGTACTTTCGACTTAGTTCAAACGATAACTAAACTATATATTTCTGTAGGATATACGAATAAACGGAACCGAATTAAGTGAGTTACACAAGAGTTTAATAATTAAGGTGCTTCCTTCCTTTTCGGAAATGTTGGATCATGCGGACTGATTATTTTCGGCGGATGAGGGGTTTTGAAACGCATCCACGCAACTCGAGTACGATCCCAAAATGCACCGAATGAATCTAATGCAGGTCGTACATCCATAATAGCGAACTGATAGCCTTCATCCACAGAACCCCCATCATAATAATCAATTATATAACGCACTTCTTTGCCACATCGATCGACCACCCAGTCGTGACGATCGAAAGGCAATTCATAACTGAAGAAGTAAACAACAAACTAGTTAACATAACTTTTGTCACTATCAGAACAAGTTTAATTAAAAAATATCAAAATTTTAAGCTTGAAGTTACGGACATTCGTTGTTTTGATTTGTTTATGCGGTTTAAACTACTCATTGATTTAGAGAAAAAGCAATATTGATTGTAATGTTAGCAATTCACAGTATACATACCCTACAAAACATGTGTAAAAATTTCCTAGATTCTGTCCTTTAAGATTTACGATACACTAAAAGTCTGATATGCAATAATAAATGAATCAAGTATAGAAAGAAAACAATTTCAACGAATAAGATATAACACTGATTTGTGTAGTTATTAGCTGCCGCATGAAACTCTAGGAAATCCTAAACTTTGTTATAAGAATCTATATGATATCAGAAATTGGCTCTTTTGCAATTGTCTATATCTCAGAATATTTTATGTATCAACATGTTATTTGACGATTGAACTGAAAACTTAATCTCACGGAGATCGTCCATCATTTGCGGGAATTATACATCGATAATTTAAGTATCGTAAGAGATTATCAGTTTGTCACGTATGTTAATCAGTATTTTACTGTTTTCATTCTATGACCTAAAATTTGCCCATTGTTACAAATTTTAGAACCATTTCCTGTAATATTTGTAACAAAAAATAATTGTTTTTTACAATGGTATGGATTTGTGTCATTAGTTTGAACCTATACTTTTAGGTGTCAGGGCAAATGATACTCACCCGTCGGTCAAAGTGAAATTAATGGACGGTGTTTAAATATGAGGATTAGGAAATAGTTCGAACACCTGGATCGATGATCCTGGTCTAAATACAAAATTACTGGGAAACCAGTTAGCGGTTGCTTTTTGGATTTCAGTAGCAATTAGGTTGAATGTTTGAATAATTGAAACTTTTTATTACTAATTAAGCCTCTTTTAATAACTAGGTTTAGAACGCGAGATTATTATAGTCATATATTGAGTGGTAAATACTATTTATGAAAACCATACAGAGTTGTGCACAAAAACAATACTTACCCCAAAACCTGACGGATACGTGCTCTTGGGGAATAGTTTTTTGCATCCCCCGCAAAACGACGCAATTTCGGTGTCATACATTCACTGGAACAAAGTAAACCATAGAGAATAGAAAAAATTAGTAAAGTTGGATTTCAGTTCACAATGGGATCCAGGATGTGCATGCCGTCTTATTTGGGACGATGCACCAGCGATCGAGTCTCAAATGAGTCGAAATAACTAATTACGCCGAAAATATGTTCACCACGAACACGCAAAATTGAACAAGTCAGGTTAAGCACAAAGTTTACCTCGAAGTAGGAACTTTACTATGTTTAGTAGAATAAGAACGAGGGAGATAATGACAAATCACAGTGTATTGTTTATACTAATTATTAATTTTTAACAAAATCACATAGTTAATAAGGGTTATACATTGTGTAATTCAATGTTTTTGCATCATGAAAATAATATGGCAAAAAAGGCAATATTATTAGTGGGAAAAAATATCACAACTATGCGAAGATAAATTAAGTAAACTTCTCGTGATATTTTAGTTTATCCTATTATGTTCAGATGAAAGACAAAAATCAATAAGCATGATGATGCTTCTTGAAGTCATTACATTAGAAATTTCACACATTTACGCCCAACGGCTTTGACTGAACAAGTTAAAGAGCACTAGAATAGGATAATGCTTTTAATAATATCAGAGAACAGTGAGAAAACGTAATTGATCTGAAAAATGTGATGTGTTTGCGCTATACACTTCGAACAATCTGGTCACACATATACTTGTCAAGGCATTTTATATACAGATTAACAAAGGGTCAATTAAATAAAAGTCCAAATAGACATACATCACATTTTTCAGATCAATTACGTCTTCTCACTGTCCTATCAAAATTTATAAAAGGGACTAATTGTTTTCAATATCAGAGAAGTCGTATGAAATGAAACTCATTTTCTGGTCAGTCTAGGAGTTAGTCTTAAAGTGTTCAATATGGGAATGATTATGATGACAAAAAATGAAATAAATCCAAATCGCTAACAGCGTTGTGTGATAGCTTTAAGCTGAATATATAAAACCTGTTCTTTGCAAACAACTTAGGTGTTACAGAACTGATTTGTACTCAGAATTTACATGACGCAAAGTTTGCTACAGGAAATATCATAACAATAAACTATAAATTTGGTAGACCTTTGAATGATAAATTTACGATACACAAGTTTTATCTTCACTTTTTAGGCGTGAAATGTGGCTTTTAAAAAATAGGGTATTCATAGGTCACTAGTATTTGACCATGTGTGCATTTGATGCCTTGATCGCATATGTTGGGGCTACCAAGTGAACAGCGCTGAGGTTAGATACGAGATATTGAGTAAATATGGCACATTAGCTGATGTGGTTGGAACATCTATTACGTATCCTCAAGGGCAGCCTAACTTGACAAACTGTGTTGTCTGATGTAGAAGTACGTTGAGAGAAAGCTAGGACAGAATAATCTTGGTAGTAGCATTCTTTCATGAAGTCGTTGATTGGTGGACTGAGCCGTGTAGGTACCTGTAGATTATCTGGTTGGGGTTCACGGGATGATCGCGATGGATAGTTAGAAACGTTGGGTAACATAGGTTGAAATTGGTTTTGATGGAACAGTTGCATTCACTGTTTTCGCTTAGATCTTGAGTTTCAAAATTATCTTATACCCTTTAATTCCGTGGATTTATTCTAAAGTTGTATTATTTATTTTTAATTTTTTATGCTACCACTGATACTTACTACTCCTACTATTCTGGTAGTGTGTCTTTATAAATCCATCTCGTGCTGATAGTGTGGCAATCAATGTACATATTATAGGCTCTACGCCGTTTTTGACTGAATGAAAGGTTAAGAACACCTTCAACCAGTATTTATTGAAGTACTTTTTAAATGTTCAAATTCACAATCAGTAGTAACTTAATGCATTACTTTGTTTCTATTATGACTACCCTTTCATTGATAACTAGAACTGCAATGACTAGTCTCTTTTGGCATATGTGAATCCTGTGTAGATTGTCTCTTTGTAAGTCTTCCATACAGTTAAGTTGTGTTGACTGGGTTTACTGTACTTTCAATGCTGACAACGCAGATTAGAAGAAAAACAACAAAACATGTGTAAACGACAGTAATGAAAAATCCCTTCCATCAACATATAAGTGGATCTTTAAATTATGTTCAGACTATTTTTAATCACCAAATTTACGTGTTACGAAGTAGCTGAACAAAAAGGACAAAATCTACACTAAGAAACTTTATTACATAGGCTGTTATGGTTCAGACGATGGTTTATACACCGAATTCTAGACAAACCAGTAGAATCAATAACTGTTATCCAGTAGACATTATTCACAACTTAGTATGTAGAAAATTTGCATCGAATAGTTGAAGTATGTTATTATTAGTATTATTCATTTCCCCTACAAATATATTCACAAGAATTCGGTCAACTTTCATAGATTATGAAGAACTCATAGTTAATATATCGAAAAATGCTTTTAGAGGAACAGGAACTTGTATTTAGAATTAATTACCAGAAGTCGAGTAGGGTTTAAAAAATATATGCATCGACTCAAATGGTTAAGCCATTCTTTAATTAGAACAAATCAACATGACAAAAAGTACAACAGGTGAAATAATATTATGAGTTGATATACGAAATACAGTTCGGTTTCTATAGAAAAACTGTCTACTGCCTTCGATTAATATTAGTAAAAAAATTAATCCAGTTTTTATTTCAATAAATCCTACACTTACTTAGCATGTAGAGCTTCCCATTTTAAAACCTCACGCCAAGCTAATTCATTATTTACATTATGTATGCGTATGATATTTTCCATATCCTCAGGCTTGATATCATCATCTCGCCAACGCCAACCTTTACGAAGCATAGCATTCCAAAACATTTGAGGCGAAGGATACACCCATTTTTCACCACCAGGATCATCTGCTTTTGGAATCGAGGATATTTCGCGTTCAGTAGACAGTGGGAAAGGTTGTCCAGGACTTGGAAGTTGGTTAGGAGGTGGCATCTAAAATACAGGCGGTTTAGAAAGGATAATAAAATATTTAAACCTATTGATAAGGATCAGTAAGAACAGGTGGAAAGTAGGGGTTCTAAAGATAGCTTTTTTAACTATGAAATATTTCGATTAATAGGACAGAGCAGAAGTTTGATAACAAGGACTGAGATTTAAAATATACCACTCATTACAGACACTACAGTGGTTGCAGTTACCTAAAAAACATCATTTCGTTAGTCAAATCTGATTCTTTTATCATTATCACTATTATTCTCTGCCTACACTCCCACTGACTGCAGCTCAGATAAGGTGAAAGATGAGTTCTACAGGAAGCTTTCGGACCTCCAAAACGTTCGGCACTCTGATATAGTAATAATGGCTGGTAACTTCAATGCTCAAGTAGATAGACTAAGTAAAAAGGAAAGACAGCTTGGTGGATCTTAAGGTGTTCCGGCTAATCGAACAGATAATGGCGACCGTCTGCAGAAGCTGTGCTCAGATAACTGCCTATTTCTGGCAAATACCAACTTCAAACACAAGGAGAAACATCTTTTGAAATGGCAACCCCCGAATTCGTCCCAAAGTTGGACACAACTAGACCACATTATCAGGAGAGGCTCGATAAAAGACTGTTGCTCGTTCTGGAGCACATGTTTAGATTCAGATCATGCTCTAGTACGAGCGCGTATTTGTTTGCGTCTTACTCGATGTAGGAAAGACACTGTAAGGAGACCTCTTAGGGTTTTACTTAATGATAGAAAAACTAAAAATATATTTCAGGAGTAACTAGAAAAACAGTTACGCGGTTATATAAGCGATTCCCACGCTAAGGCAGCTTGCAATGATATCCAAAAAGCTGTGAAAACAGCAGTGATATCTGCTAGTAAGGTAATCCATAATGTTAAGAAGCTATGGATCTCAGCAGCATCTACCAAACTGATAGATGCTCGAAAAATCATCCTACTTGGCTCTAAACATGACGAAGAGCGAAGCCAGCTTAAGCGCATGCTGATAAGAAGCCCACCCAATAATCGCGAACAGTGGTGAGTGGCGAAAGCAAGAGAGATCAAAAACGCAGAGGCGATAGGTAACAGTAGATAACTATTCATACTTGTCAGGGAAATCGGTATTAAAAATGTCACTGTTATTAAGACTATCTCGGAGAAATAAGAGACTATTATTTATTCTCAATCCAGGAGATTGGATTGATGGAAAACACTTTAAGGATCAGTTCAACTGGCCTTCAGCCACACTTCGGTTAACCACGATCTTCAGTTAACCTGAATGGTCAATTGTTGCAAGTCCTCCGACTTTCAATGGAGTTGATAAAGCTGTGGGAAATCTAAGGCGAGGAAGAGAAGCAGGCCCTGACAGGCTTACCCCTGAGGGTTTTCAAGAATGGTGGTTCAGGTTTAGCCGTTATACTGATTAAGATCTTAGGTAGAATCTGGGAACTAGGTGTAATCACACCGACTGGTATCAATCACTGAGAAACAATGCAAGCCTGTTAGGGATGCTGTACTCCCCCTCCAAACGCAAAATGTTGCTTCACGATTGGCTTGGATTGGCACTTGAACTAGTGATAGGGAGTGAAGTAGTTAAGCACGTTGGCCGTTTCACTTATATTGAGAGTCTTATTAGTGCTGATGGCCTGGTGTCTGGCGAAATCTTAGCACAGATACAGAAAACTCAACTAGCTTTTGCCAACTTGCGTCATTTACGGCGTAGGTGAGATATCCGTCTACCAACTAAAGGACGAGTTTACTGCGCAGCAGTTCGTTTCACCCTACTTTATGGCTTTGAAACATGGCCAGTTAGAGTAGAGGATATTCACGGGTTACTGGTTTTTGACCATATGTGTCTTCGAAGCATTGCTCGTATATCCCGGGACAATCGAGTAGGCAATGCAGTTTTTAGGAAAAGAGTGCCAGGTAAGGATGGCAGATCAATAGATGAAGTATTGAAACTTCATCAGTTGGGGTGGTTCGGACATATGTTACGTATGCCTAGGAGTAGGCTGGAAGAAAGCTAGGGGTGGCCAAACCAAAACATGGCACAAATCTGTCATATCGCTGACAGTTGCACTAAGCCTTGTTGGTATGTGTAGACTACCTGGTTGGGGTCTGCGAGATGACAGTAACCGATGATTAGAGACTTTGAATGACATGGCTCAAAATCGTTTGCAATGAGAAAGGTGCATCCATTCTTTGTATTATATTAAATTCTAATGTACACTCCTCATGACCTTCATCTTTATCGTCTCAAACCTATTTTCGGTTAGAGCTTTAGAGATCAATCAGAGTTAGACATTAACGCCGTTGGATGCCGGACCAGTGGTCCGATGGTTAGGCGTTCGCGCACAATACCGAAAGACCCGGGTTCAGATAATGGGACCGAAGCTGCTATCTTGACGTGGTGGTCGGGCTTGCCTATCGTGATGACCCAACCGAGCTATACTGGCTGGAACACATGTTCCTGCAGGTCCTACCATGCCAGGCAGGTCGACTGGAGAACGATGAGACTAAAAGCAGCTACCCAAGGTCTGAGGGCGAAGTCCTACTGCTGACTGCAGAGGGGTGTGACAGCAGTAAGGTGTTTCCCTCGGACAACCAGCATCTGCAGCGATGCTGCCTTCTCACAAGGAAGGAAGGGTTAGAAAAGGTCGACCCTAAAAATGTCACACCTCACGGATTTCCGTCTCCTTGGGTAAGGGTGCCCACTAAGGGCCTTTAAGAACGGAGCTAATCCTCAAACAACGTCTCATAAAAGGGCCGTGCGTGACCGGCCTCAAGCAGTTGTCCCTTGGACCCTGCGGTCACGCACCAATACTAATCCATCTTCCTTTTCAGGTTCGTCAAGAAACAACGTTCCACGGTGTGGGCCGCCGGGAAGTGATGACCGCCCTCATACCCGTAACAACACACGAGACCAAATTGTTCAAAATCAAATCCTTCCTACATTCCCTAATACCTCTCTTATCTCCACAACTAACTCTTCTCACATTCATTTATTACAGTGCACAGCTAATGCAAACGATGCGAGTTTGCGAAACGTCGTTCCTGGTCTCCTTAAACCCCGTTCCAAACTACATGTTGGAGCATTCAATGTACGGACGTTGTGTCAAATAGGGCAACAGGCATCATTAGCTAGGACTTTAGAATCTCGTGTCATCGATGTGTGCTGTGTCTCGGAAACGCGCATACAGGATCCGAGTAGCATCACTCATTTGACCTCACCATGTCAAGATAAAGAAGCAGCTCGATTTACTCTTCGTGTATCCGGTAGCCCTGATGCTGCTTCTAGGGGCCTCGCCGGTGTAGGTATAGCATTGAGTCGTAGGGCAGAACAATCTCTCCTTGACTGGATCCCTGTAGATAGTCGCTTGTGCGCCGTCCGACTGAACGGGACAGTAAGGACTCGGAAAGATAGGGACACTCGCCGTTGCCTCTTCGTCATATCAGCCTACGCCCCCACTGACTGCAGCCCAGATGATGTAAAAGATGAGTTTTACAGAAAGCTTTCGGACCTCCTCCAAAAAGTTAAGCGCTCTGATATAGTTATAATGGCTGGTGACTTCAATGCACAAGTAGGTAGACTAAGTGAAAATGAAAGACACCTAGGTGGATGTTACGGTCTCACGGCTCAAAGAACAGACAATGGCGACCGTCTGTTGCAACTGTGCTCAGATAACCAACTATTTCTAGCAAACACTAATTTTAAGCATAAGGAAAAACACCTTTTGACCTGGCGACCCCCGAAGTTGTCTCAACGTTGGACACAACTAGATCATACCGCCATCAGCCACCGATGGAGGGGTTCGATAGAGGACTGTCGCTCGTTCTGGGGCACATGTTTAGATTCAGATCATGCCCTAGTGCGAGCACGTATTTGTTTGAGGCTTGCTGGACGTAGGAAAGACACCGTAAGGAAGCCTCTTAGGGCTTCACTTGATGATAATCAAGCTAAGAAAATATTTCAGGAGGAACTAGAAAAACAGTTAGGCGGCCATGCAAGTGATTCCCATCCTGAAGCAGGTTGGAATCATATCAAGAAGGCTGTGGAAACAACAATGGTATCTGCTAGCAAGGTAAACCACAAGGCTAGGATGAAGCTGTGGATTTCAGTCGCATCCACCGAACTGATGGATGCTCGAAAACGCATCCCACCTGGCTCTGAACATGATGAAGAGCGTAGTCAGCTTAGGCGCAGACTTATAAAAAGCCTACGTAACGACCGTGAACAGTGGTGGGTGGCGAAAGCAAAAGCGATGGAAAAGGCAGCGGCGATCGGCAACACTAGACAACTTTTCCGCCTTATTAAAGAAACCGGTATTAGGAACCCGAATGTGAGTGAGACTATCTCGGAAAAGGATGGTCTTATTATCCATTCTCAATCTAGGAGGCTGGACCGATGGGCAGAACACTTTAGGGATCAGTTCAACTGGCGTTCAGCCACACTTCGGTTGCCCACGATCTCCAGTCATCCTGAATGGCAAATCGATTTAAGTCCTCCCAGTTTACATGACGTTGAGAAAGCTATAGGAAATCTAAGGGGAGGTAGAGCGGCAGGTCCCGACAGGCTTACCCCTGAGATGTTTAAGGATGGTGGTCCAGTTTAAGCAGCTAGATTGACTGAGATCTTAGGTAGAATCTGGGAACTGGACGTAATCCCATCCGACTGGTCTCAATCACTGATTGTCCCAATCTATAAGAAAGGACAGAAGTCCTCTTGTGACAATCACAGGGGAATAAGTTTAACTAATATAGTTTCTAAATTGTTAGCCTCGATTATACTTAGACGTCTAACTAGAGCTCGTGAAGAGCAGACTCGAAAAAACCAGGCTGGTTTTCGACCTGGACGTGGTTGTATAGACCACATCTTCACACTACGACAGGTCCTGGAACACAGACACACATTTAGACGTCCGACAATAGTCGTGTTCCTGGACCTTAAGGCGGCATTCGACTCAGTGGATCGTGAGGTTCTGTGGCAGTGTCTGTCATTGAAGGGTGTACCAAAGAAGTACATTAACCCTATACAAGCACTCTACTCGAACACCACTGGTCGGGTGAGAGCATATGGCGAACTGTCATCTGAATTCTCTACATCAAGTGGTGTCCGTCAGGGCTGTCCACTCTCTCCATTCTTGTTTAACTTTGTCGTAGACGTCCTCTTAGAGTTAACATTAAGCTCGTCAGATTTTTCAGGGGTCGACCTTCTACCAGGAAAGTCGCTTACTGATCTAGAATATGCCGATGACATAGTTCTATTCGGTGAAGACGCTGACAAAATGCAGAGTCTTCTGACTACCATAAGCAACAATGCAAGCATGTTCGGGATGCGGTTTTCCCCCTCGAAATGCAAAATGTTGCTTCAAGACTGGGTTGCATTGGCACCTGAACTAGTGATAGGGAGTAAAGTAGTCGAGCGTGTTGATAACTTCACTTATCTTGGGAGTCTCATCAGTGCTGACGGCCTGGTGACTGACGAAATCTCAGCTCGGATACAGAAAGCTCGATTGGCTTTTGCCAACTTGCGTCACTTATGGCGTAGGCGTGATATCCGTTCGCTAACCAAAGGGCGGGTGTACTGCGCAGCAGTTCGTTCCGTTCTTTTATATGGCTGTGAAACATGGCCGTTAAGAGTAGAAGATGTTCGTAGGTTACTAGTATTCGATCATAGATGTTTAAGAAGTACTGCTCGTATATCGTGGGACAGCCGAGTACGCAATGTTGTCGTTAGGAAACGAGTACTAGGTAAGGATGGCAGATCAATAGATGAAGTGGTGAAACTTCATCAGTTGAGGTGGTTGGGACACGTGTTACGTATGCCTAACCACCGACTGCCTCGACGAGCTATGTTTTGTGGTGTAGGAGTAGGTTGGAAGAAAGTTAGGGGCGGCCAGACCAAAACATGGCACAAATCCATGAAGTCACTGACAAGTGGACTGAGTCATGTTGGTAAATGTAGACTACCTGGTTGGGGTCCGCGAGACGAAAGTCATCAATGGTTAGAGACCTTCAACGACATGGCTCAAAATCGTTTGCAGTGGCGCAGGTGCATCCACTCTTTGAGCTCTCTCAAATCCTAATCTTCTGGATTAGCCAGCACCTCTACCTTTGTCTTTCTAACCTTATCTCACTGAATTATATTTTTTGAATAATATCTTCGAACCCTAGTCTTCTTTATTAACATTAATACCTCTACTATCTTTATCACTATGGGATTTGGTTTGACATTTGCGTCTCTGTGCTAATAATGTGGTATGGCAACATGAACTTATGTACATACGTACGAAGTTCTACGTTGCAACTGACTGACTCAGATACTGGGAGGTGCAGGAGTCGTGGATACACACTGCTGATGAGTCCCATACGAGGACGAAACGGCCATCCAGTGCTTCCAGGTTTCCAATGGTGGTCTAACAATAATTGATTGATGATTTTAAATGTGTCAAATCTATTTCACTGGATTATACTTCTTGAATAGTATCTTTGGATCGTGATCTCTCTGATTACCGCAAATACTTTTACTACCTCTACTACCATACGATTGAATTGACAATTGCACCTCTGTGCTAATGTGGTATGGCAACCTCAACTGATGTATGTACGTACGAAGTTCTGAGTTGTAACAGACTGACTAACCATGACCTCGCTCTTAAGAGGTCAGCTTTTCGGTCGGATCCCTAAAGAATTAGTTTGATAAATGAGGCCTTATCATTTATAGGCACATGGTACAAAAATAGAATCTTAAAAACATGCGGAACAGGACACTTACACGATTGTCTGGATTGATTTCCATATATCCGTGGTTCATTGGACACCCATCACCTTTCCCAATCGGACATTCTCTTGGTACATCCCTTTCTTGACCAACTTGCTGACTTCGAGAAGAAATTAACCCCATATGTTTGGTTTATGGTCAGATCACTATACACCAGATCTTTATAAAACAAAACAATGTGGGGGGGGGGAGTATGGATTTACTTAAAAATTTTGACCTTTGCTAATTTGTTACTTGCACCATGTCATCTGAGCTATTAATGGGGACACAAAGCATAACCTGAATTGAAAACTCATGAGATTTATAACTGGGCTTGGTCCTACACATATTAAGTTTCGTACTGATGAAGCTATACGAACGAAACAAAAATCAGCTGACAAGAGATCATCTTATGCTGTTAGCCAAATGACATTCAGTAGATAGACAACTAGAAATTCCACTGTAGTAGCTAGTATTGTACCTCTAAATATTTAATATTTTGTCTGAGGTAGCAATTTAGCTAAGTAATCTGGGTTTTTCTAAACGAAGGACTCCCAATTCCAACTTATTTATTTTGGTCAGGCTTAAAATAGTAGACCACAAGATAATCCAGCTATTAAATTCCAAGTAAACACTTAAGACCAACATTGCCTTGTTGGCGTCAGTTTGTGTAAGTTTTAGTACATCAGGAAATGCTTTCCGAGGGAGATTTTTTCCAGTTTTCATAATTGCACTACATAGTCGTAGCCCTAATTATTGGTCACTTTTTTATAATAACTTTCATGATTCTTATTTATTGAAATCATCACAATAGGACCCACATGAATCCATTCATTTGCATAACAACACAAATACTTCCGAGTCTCACACCTTCGCCATTACTTCAATGCCAACTCGTTTTAAACACTTTTATTCAGTGAAATCCGTTAGTTCGAAAACATTTAAAAACACTTCAACAGTTCTAAGTTCATTTGAATAAGGGATGAATTACTAAGCTTAAACCGAGGTAACGCTTACCTCAAACTCGCAGTGAATTCAGAATGTTCCAATACTTTCTACGTAAAGACTTTGTTTCAATCATGATTTTTGTTAGCTTTTGCTTCTTTTTGGTGACTAAAAATAGTCTACACACTGGATCAAACTATTTCGTGTCAATTAAGTGGTGATTTATGGATTAATGTACTTTGAGGTGGTGTTTCTTAATCAAGTTGTATGAAGAGGCAAAAGTATATGAACGAAGGATATGCAGAGATGACAGAAGTTAAAAGGAGTGAAGACAAGTAAATAGTATTTTATGGCAAGTTTCGTTCTCTGTTTGCACTGCCTACACACTCCTAGTTCTCAGTTAATGAGGAACCAGGTTAAAAGACTTCAAATATATTTGTTATATATGTTTAAACATCTTATTGGTTTCCTCCTCATTCAGTAATGTTTAATATTACAAGTGCCTAGATATTATTCATAAGAAAGAATATAATGCCTACTTTCGTGAGATATTCTCACTGTCGAAATCAACTGTATTGAATTAACGGACCAAATTTATGCATTTTGGTTTACTCGATCAGCTTCATTTGTGTGAGCACGTGTTATGGGATCAGCGATAAAGTAGAATTAGGTATGCATTGATTATGTCTAATACTAGGGAAAGAATGCATAGGTTGCAAGCAGGGTAGGAAAGAAGCTTAGCAATGAACATATTCAATGTGCAACATACAATATCTTTTTCACGACTTAGTATAAACCATCTGATTTCTTTCTTCACGCTTCCTGTTGTTTTTGGTGGCGTTGCAAGTATTTGGTAATATCCGATATATGGTGATCATGCCACTCGACCCCACGAATTCTAGTCAGCTGGGAGTTCTTCATGAATTTGTACATCCCGTTATTTGAGTGAGTGGGTTCGTCTCAGAGTAGTAGGGTTTCTGGATAACAGCAGATATCAGATTGTCAGGCTGGGAAAGCATCAGTGGAAAATAATGAAGAGAAAATTCTTATGTTAATGAGGAGAACAAGATTTTAGGTCCAAGTGGAAAAAATGAGCTAATTGATTGGTAGTAAAGAGTGTGTGAGCGGACCGAAGTATAGGGATAAAAGCGGATACAGAGGTGATAATAAACGAGAGGGAATAAGTTATTGATAGGAATTATTGACAATGATAAATATTACGCAAGTGTAGTGCATAAGACGCAGCTGGTCCAAATGGTAGACAATAATCCCTGTGTGGAAATGTGGTTTTCAAGTCTCCTTTTGAAGCCATTTATAGAGGGGACTGTAGCATTTTTGGATGTAAGAGAATGTGAGAGTTTGCTGATTACTCTTTGAACATAAATCAAGAGCAAGCAACGTGATTGGAGTAGGTGTTCGTTCAGCAGCACAGTGGACCGAAGAGGTTCTAATTAAGCTGAAGAATCCCTCAAAATTCAGAATACGATAATGTAGAATTCAACACATAAATAAAGTAAGAAAGTAAATGCTCACATTAGATATTAGTTTTTAAATCCGACTGATGTATTCAGATAGCTCGTAGTTAACTAAAAAAGCTTGTACAAGTAATCCAAGAATAGACTACTCCAACTGAGAAAATATGGGCACATACCTGGGTGCCCACTCTGTGATGTGCAATTTTTCGACGGTACACAGAAGGGTGTAGTGGTTAAGCTTTGGCGAGATGCCCATGTTCGGATGATTCAACATAAGTAACATAATATATGCCATTATCAGATCACCTCTGATTCTCCCACAAATCAACGGGAACAGTATTACAAAATTCATGTTGGGTGTTGCTTATATTTTAATGAGATTTAGGAGCAATTGCATCAAGTTGTTTTCATATCAATTGAAAATTCATGCTCACTTTGGCTGAATCACCTGTGCAGTTTGAGCTGATGTTCCAGTTCTCTGTGGTTGTCGTACTAAGATCACGCTATGGAGTGGACTTCTGTGGAGGAAGTAAGTTGTTTGTTTCACGTGGAGTAGAGTGTTTGTGTAAAGTAGTTATGAAGCTCAAATGAATCCTCTTTGCCTCTTATGGACATCCAAACCTTCGCGTCGTCTACATAGATTGGTGCGGCCGAGTTGATTTTATCTAACGAATGCTAAATCAATACCAGGAAGAGGAGTGAACCTTAGGTGATGCTCTGTGAAACTATGGTTGCTGAGACTCGCTAGCTGGTATGCGCTCTATTTACCCTGGTACGATACGTCAAGTTCTGTAGGTGGTTTCCGAGCGAGGATAGAAAAGGATCAGCGAAGCTGGATATTCTTTAGGCCATCACCTGGCACCAGATTTCATTTGTACACTGAGAGAGTAGGTATCTGTCCAGACGTGTCTCTCGTCCCTCTAAACTTTGGCTATACATCTATTTCTCGATGTCAAATCAGGACTAATATCAAAATCCTTCACACAGACCTTCCACTTATGTCTAGCCACCTTTTGCCTGTATCAAGCGTTCTGTGCCTCGCTTAATCCATGTTTGTGATTTGCCGGTTTCGAGACCACCCTGTACGAATGTAACGCACATGGTGAGATTTGGGGATGGAGAATTGATTTCTAAATTTAAAACTCTTTGACTAAACCGTTGGGCATGGTATTTGTAAGATCGCTTATATCAACTCATCTTTCAAGGCTTTAATATTCGAGGAAAGCTGAAAAATCACTCCAATCAAGTTTTTTGCGTCATTCGTGTAGCACCGGTATGATTATGTAGCATCGGTTATCTGGTACATTGTGGTGTTACTACTTTGTAAAGACTGTTGATGTATATCACAACTCCACCTCGTGTTTTGTTACATTATCGTATCTGAATAGTGTCATGCCTCATAAGCCAACTTCGTATTCTGAAGTTTCGAGAGGCGAAAAAGCTTTAGCTAGCATTATAATCTTCAGATCCATCTGAATCCACAGGTTTTGGATCTCTTCTAATTTAGCCCTCAGTCTTCCTGTGTTACTACAGAGGTAATCTGTGGTTTGCCCCACCACCCAGTGCATCTCTGTTGCGGTATCAGTTATCGGATTTTTAAACAAGTTGATTAAACTGAAGTGGTCGGTTTTGTGGGAACTGGTCAGTGCATGTTTCTGACCTGTATTATGTATTTCACTGTCGCGGCCGTGGTCCACACACTATTTATCGTGGATTGTTTATCGAGGTCAACCGACATGAATGTATGCCTTATTCGAAACATTAGCTATTGTCTTACCGGTCTGAGTTGTCTCTCACCCTGTCTAGTGTGACTAGAGATCACTTTCGTGGTGTAACGAGCATGAAGCGTCCTAATCAGTTCCTCCCGGTTTCTCAAGTTCACAGCCATCAGATTCGGAGATTTAGTGGCCTCGAGATAGGACGGTTTTTGTTCTCAGTATTGTTTGAATGTCCTGATCTTTTAGTGAAAACTGGATTGTGTCTTAATATTTGTTAGTGATCAACGAAGCCACATCAGAACTGTGGCTACATGACAAGTCGCACCAGGAGACAAGGAACACTAAATTAAATTTTCGTGGATAAAGTGACAAATACGCTGATGCTTGATGTCGAAAGAATGAGTTTATGTTCAATTTGCTGATGCTAAAATTTATTGTACACAAAACCAGCATTTGTTATCCTTAGAATGAAAAATCTCTTTAAATTAACGAGTTTATATTTCTAATCTTGAGCAGCGATCCTATTGGGAAACTTATACTTCACAACATCCCTTTACAATCTGTCAAACCACGTTCATAATTTGTAGTTTCGCTTAACTATGTGATTGAATACCTGAATATCAGTTGTTTTAAATATTAAGTTGATTATTAAGAATCTCATTTAATCCTCAACTTTAATAAATATATATTTCTGAAAAGGTATAAAATTGTTTATCAGTTCGCTGTAGGCTCGACAATTCAATCTGGGCTTAGTTTATTGTAAAGAAATTATTTAATATTTCTGAAACCATGAACCAATCAATGTTAGAACACCATTAGAAACCTGGAAGTACTGGACGGCCGTTTCGTCCTGGCATGAGACTCCTCAGCAGTGCGCATCCACGACTCCTGCACCCCACAGTATTCGAACCCAGGACCTTCGGTATTGTGCGCGAACGCCCTAACCGATAGACCTCTGAGCCAGTATCTGACGGTGTTAATGTCTAACTTGATCAAATTCACGGAGTTGCGCAACCTCATACACAGTCTTCGGTAGTTACTGTCTCTACCCGAACAGGTTGAACTTCACTGGTCACGTCTTCCCACCAGAACTCGGAGAAGATTCCTCACGAAGCTAGTCACTGGTGAGCACAGGTAATTTGCATTACGGGGTTGTGAAGATTGTTAAGTTACACATTTTTGAAACCATGAACCATACCAGGACGAAACGGCCGTCCAGTGCTTCCAGGTTTCTAATGGTGGTCTAACATTGATCGGTTCATGGTTTCAAAAATGTGTAACTTAACAATCTTTACAACCCCGTAATACAAATTATTTTATACACCAAGAACCAGTGTTTTTATCAGAATAATCCTCATACTGGATTCCACTGCCAGCTTGAATTCAAAATGTGTATAGTTATATGAATCTTGTTTCATTTAGTTAGATATAGAGTACTTTTTCAATGAATAAACAGTAAATATTTAGAAATAGTCTATATGTGTGTATTCAGTGCAAAACTCGTGTAAGAATCAGAAAGTATACATCTCAAATCATATAGCCCTTTGGACCAAAATACAATCATTTATATGCTAAGTTCTATGAACGTCATTAATTATACAATAGGAAAATACGTAGAGTTACTTCAAAAAACACACTGAATATAGTTCACTTGAATTGAAACAAGAAATGTAATTGTTGCTCTGGTCAAAATTCGTAATGAATTGATAGTAAAAAAGTATCACCCGAATTGATTCCATCATAACAAGGCAGGTTCGACCAGAATATAAGGAGCCTGTATATCTATGCTTGTGAATCGGACTATCGCATAACATACATTTTTATATTGAAAATGATCTGTCAATCTCTAACAATGTTCCAATCGATTTATCATCAGGAC